AAAAACATCTAGTTTGCACGTACATCGCCGTTGACGTTTTGACTGCCGCCGCCGTCGTCGATGCTAAAATTCCCTGATGCCGTATACTTCTCGGAGAGCTGAACAATGGAGGACATACTTTAAAAAAAATTACATAGCACCAGTAAACTTCGGAACGTGTACACTCCGAGCAGCGTGGCCAACTCACAAAAAGGCAACCCTATCGAAATTCACCACCAATGTCGAATGTCATCTGAGTGAGGAGAATTCGATTGGAGGACAATCGAAGACGAGATCACGTACAGAGCAATACATTTTTGGGGCCATTAAACAGGGACGAAGATCTCCACCCAGGCAGAGCAGCGGAGGACTGCATCATTGAAGCTAGAAAAACGATGTAGCAGAAAAAAGAAATAGAACTATGTACACCATTTACAAATAACGGTTGATCACGTTTACTTAGGCCAAGACGCTTTTGCCGGTTTGCGCGTCCTCTTGAGAGAATCACGTCCATTCTTAGCTCTTTCAATAGGAATGAGCGGCATATCACTAGATTGCTGTAGGTATGGTTGTGGTTAGGAAAGTGTTTTAAAACCGCTGTATGGATATGATTACAAGTATATAGAATTGAGTATTGGACGTCCCTGTTCATTAAAACAGTCTTGATGGCGACTTTTAGTAACATAGAAGACCACAGCGGTTTTAGAATACTTCAGTTCTTCGTCACTGATCCATATCTTTATAAGGATTGACGTGAATTTTGAAACAGCACGCGCGAAATATACGTGATAACCTGCTAACCTATCTGTTTATAGTAACAAGCTATTATTTGTTTTTATGTTATAAGTAGCCCCACCATACCACGTCATATTATATAACATTCCGATCTTTGTCTCACCACATGTATGCTGCACATATTTCTTTTATGATTTATTTGTTGACTAATGCATAGAGTTACTGGCGAGTGGAAATATCGTAACTGGTTGTTTTTACCTGAGTCTTTTTAAAATTGACTCCAATGACTCCATGGTCACGATTTGACGTCGAGCAAGGTTGGTGACTCATTTTTACAGTGGTTTTTGACTCTAAAATTGCACGAGTTACGGGTAACTGTTCTTCACCTGATGGGAACAAAGGTTTATGAAGGCTACAAACTAAAAAGAGGCAATCTCTTTTATCCCCTCAAACTTTTAATTACCTCCTTTTCACATTTCTTGAATTGTAAATAACAGTTATCAGTTGCTATGACTATTTATTTTTTAGAAAATTCAGGTTTGACCTTTCTAATTGACATTAACCTAGATGAATAAAGAACGAATTTACTTTACACTTGCTAAATTTTTTAACTTCTTAGTGCAGCTTTTATTTTCGTCTAATTCTTTGAACTCATTCACGAAATGCTTCAGTCTACAAACCTAAGAGGATCATGCGAACGTGCAACCTGATCTATGGCAAAACGAGAACACTAAGCGGAAAATATTTGGCAAGTTTTTCAATTTGCGTATAAAGGTTTGAGCACGGACCAAAGAGGACTCAAAAAAGTGGCTGGCAAAGTTTAGTTCGGAGAAGAGTTCTTCTCTAAACACCAAAATTCAGCGGAAAAAAGGCAAAGATCTGTAAAAAAATAACAACTCAGCCAACATGAATGAACACGGAAAGAATTAAGCGGGAAAATGAATGCTCAAAGACCCAATTGGACTATGCAGGTAGTAAGTGAATTTGTAGTTGTACTTGCTAACTTTACAATACTCGCCAAATTTGAAACACTAGACTGAAACTAAGGATTTTTCGTGTCAAGCCTTCTCAACCACTGAACTTATTTCACTTTTCCCGAGTGTACTCCTTCTCTCCTTCACCAGTGTTGAGATTCGGGTATATTTTCCAATGGTTGATAAGTGAACATTGGGGAGGGCATAACGTGACAAGTGTTACTACAAATGTGACGAGATCACAGCGCGAATCAGCTGAGATCCGGCATGCAGCGCTGCGGATATGGATGAAAAAATTTTCAAGCGGTTTACCCTTTCCGGTCACGTTTTTAAAATTAGAACAGGGCGAATTTTGTTGAATATGAATCAAAACAAAAACTTGACAGTATTTTAAACATGTATGAAAGATTTCCCTTTTCTACGTCCCTTTAAAGTCTTTGAAGAGGACTCGAATTAGGCTTGTCAGTTATCCGGGCAATTCTCAATACACAGCACTGCACGTTGTTTTTACTAGTAAGGTTACTAATCAACACTACTTAAGTTTATCAATCACTTTTTCGTTATGTCAGAGCTATTTTAACGGATAAAATTCAAGAAACTTCGATGCTAGATAAAAATGTTAGGAATTTAAAGCCGTTGGGATATCCTGGCACCACAACGTCGGCTAGTTTCACTCTCAGCCAATATCATAGCAATAGAACACAATACCTGGTCTAGACAAGATGAAATGGATTCCTTTTTGGCGGAAATAACGCAACAGCTCTATCCTCTTTGCGGTTAAGTTGAATAAACAGAACGATTATGAAGTGCATAAATTAGCTTCCTCCTTGAGCATTGGAGTGGAAAAGCTCTAAAAAGAAGTTTACCGATACGAGCTCATATTGTACCTCCCAGATTCATCGACAACTTTCAGTAGCTTTGTCAAAACCTAGTATTGGCTTTGGATACCAAACTTTGGAAAAATAGGAAACTTTGAACAGTCTAGTTTGTAATAAGCAATGACAAATGTACATGCTCAAACTGCATTACAGAGAGTCTTTGATCGCAATTTCGCGTTCATGTAGTATTTTTATTAATTAACGATGGAATATATTAACTTTACACCTTTTTTGCGCAGCCCGAGCTTCGAATCAGCTCCAGATACGGTTTTTTCTTTTTACCTTAAATTAAGAAGCGGAACTACAGGGCCGTAGCCAGGAAGAAACTACAACCGAGGCGAACACACGGTCCGTTGTACGAAATCAGCCGTATGAAATCTTCTAATATTATCAGTCTGATAAAGAAAATAAAAATCGACAGTATTTGGTAAAATTTTACCGAGGCGAGTGCCTCGGTTCGCCTCATACTGGCTACGGCCCTGAACTATAATAGAGTTAAGGCCTTTCTGAAAACCACAATTCTCGTAAACCCTCATTCATGCATGTAGTATTCACTCGTGTAACTTTGTTTTGTAAGTTTTCAGGCGATATATGTAATTAGGAAACCCAGTGTAAGGAATGAACAGGAGCTCATTAGGGATCCTGAAATAAATTATTTACGTTTACAAACCAGTCAGAGAAAAATATCGAGAGGGCTTCGGACAAAAACTTGCCATCTCTTCAGCTCACTAAATTTCAAACTGTTACTCCCAGCATCTGATTTAGTTTGTTAAAATTTACCACTGTATAATTAAGGGTTTGAGACTGATTTGAGACTGATGTGGTTAGATCCCCGTGGGGGAGGGGGGGAGGGAGGTACTGAACAAGAATAGAACGTTTTCTCGACTTTAGTAAACCCATAAAATTTATCTGTTCGCCCAAATGACAGATTTTCCCACCCTTTTAAGTACTTCTACTAGGAAATCGCTACCCCTTCATATACCTGAAGACTGAAAAAGAAACCCCTTTCGGGCGGAGCCTCCCCGTATAGGCCATCATAGGGAGTACCCACGGGGGGGGGGGGGGGGGAGAGATTTAATGCAAATACGTGCAGGCTGAAAATGAACGGGCCTTAAAATACGCTGCAGGAGGTGTAGCCTAATGGGGTCCAAGTTCATCCGCAGCTAGCAGCTGCGTTTTACTAATGGTACGTGATGGTACATCTTCAAACCTTTTTGATATGACTGTGCGTATGCTCAGCATTGCAACTGCAATGATGTTCTTACCGAAAAATAACGAAAGCAATAGCAAAACGTTTACAAAAAAAGATGTTTTATGTACAAACAGTGACGTGACCAAATCAGAATAAACTTTAAAAGGGAAGATAACACTTGTAAAGTTAAAATTACTCTTTTAACTAAGTTCATAAATTAGCTGCTAAACTGAAAGGAAGGCATTTCCCATGCCGGAAAATTGTGTCTTATAGCGATTCCAATCGGCCATGATTTGCCTCCAGAATAATCGCTCAAAGCTTGATATTTACCAAGAAGTTCTGTTGATTGAATGTTATTGTAATGTAAGAACTATAACGACAGCAAAAATGAAAGCTCCACGCTTAAGGACTTGATGTACCGACATAATGATATTCAAGAATATTGGATTCTGCTTGTTAGTTGTTCACCAAAATGTTTTTTTTCTTTTCCAGCTTTCTGAGTAAAAGAATTAAAATATGAGTCATTATTTTGATGGTTGGGCCTCTTAGCTTTCTTTCAGAAGCACTTCGACCTCATGACATTAGTACTTCGTTATTCGTTGTTCTGTGTAGAAGTTCTATTGAAAAAATAAATGAACAGTACCTCTAAAGCGTCAAAATATAAGTTAAGAAATATCGCCTCAGGGTCAGGGATTGTGTGAAATGTCAGGTGCTCCGCTCCCTTTCCCCTCCGGGGAGGTAACAGGTTGAACAAAAAGTCGTGACGTCACCAGCGTGTTGTGTTGGTAGTTCATTCCAAAGTGAATTGTTTTATAGGTTCGGCTGATTCGCATTGAAAGACTTGGAAATTTTTGCCCACGTGAAAACGTTTTACAGCGTAATAGATGTGTCTCCAGCTATTCAAGCCTTAATTTATGGTGGAATGCAGCCAAACAGTTTGTAAATGAGAAAATTACCGGATGGTGGCCGAAACGAAAATGGCGCCGGTGATTTACATGGAGCAGGTCTAATGGTACTAGGCAACGATGTCTATCATGGATGTGATTTACCTTCCACGAGGCGCTGTTTTGTGTATTTTGCTTCGTAGTTAGCTGTTGAAGACACATAATGAGTGTTAAGGCACTACTAGTTTCGTGGTTTTGCTAGCGATCGCTCTCTCCGAAGAACTATTGTAGGCTTTATTCCACGGGTGTGTGAATGTACGTGATTCATTGAGGGAAATTGTGTCATCAGAGATTTGAAATGAGCTCTGCAAAGTTGAAAGGCAGTGACAAGTCTTCAGGTACGTTAGTATTGCCTACTGTTTTGAAATTTATCGGCTATTCACGCTTGTTCTTGACTGAATAGTATGGGGGTCACAACTTTCCTCAGTGGCAAATTGGAAAAAAAAACTACGGCGAAGTTTATAGATAGTATGGGCGATGTATATTTAGCCCGTCAGCTAAGATTAACTCAGTGATGTCGTGTTACCAGCAAAATAGAAGTTATGTAGGGCTTCGTGTGCTAATCTTCCTTTGGTTTTCCCAGAAAATGAAATCATACCATGGTCAGTAGTTACTCGGTTTCCTCAGTTTCTTGCTATAAATATACATCGCGAGTGTGTTGTCTTCAAGAACATACTCATTAAACGAGCCGCACATGTTCACGTTAAATCGAATACACATTACATTTAGACTAAATTGGTTTCCGTAAAAATATCGTAATCAGACCATTTGGTCAAGTAATGTGTTTTATTATTCAGTTGTAACCGTTGGCGGTAATATGAGTAGAAGATTTCGCATTTAAAAGGTTTCAACGATTTACACGCTCAATGCGAATTGCGACTTTTACCCACCAAATTACCCTTCCATTTGAGTGCAATATTTGTTGTTTTATGATTAACATTTAAGAGTACATTTACAGCCATTTATAAGGGTGAAAAAAAAATTGACACCAAGACACAAGGATAACGATTTTCTTGCCATGAAATGACGAAGGAAATCAGTGGATAATTTTTGTTAATTGAATGCTTCGTAGGAGGCAAGTTAAAATCTCTGTAACTGCCTTTTGTATCCGAGAAACTTCGTCTGTTTGGATTATTTTAGTTATTTGAGGGAGACAAGTTACATCCCCACGTTTTGGCTGGAAAAATACTCTACCTTTGATTAAATTGAAGTCAAAATACCTCGAGGATGAAATGTATCGAGCGGTGGTCACATTAGAAATTAAACAAAACTATCAGATCAAAGGGAAAGATCTTCGCAAAGGAAGAGACTCAGGTTTGAGTTGAAATGTCTCAGGGAATTATGAATGATGTACACAACATTTGCGTATTTTGCTTTGTTTAAGATGTAAGTTCCTTAATTTCGACATGTCAGACGGTTCATACTTCCAGCCCTATTTTTCCTCTGAAAGGTTGAAATTTGCATTTGAAAAGCTTAGGGTACACATATGTACCATGCCCTTCTCGCGCGCTCATCAAACCACGTTTTGAAATCCTGTTTCTCATTCTACGATTATTCTTTTTATTTCACAGAGGCATGTTGCATGGCCTTCACTCCACAAAGCTCGCCGACCCGCGTAAGTAGAGAATCCGTAGGGCTATCTTATTTACTGATTAATGGCTTCGCCAGGGGCTTTAAAATAATCGCGACTTCACCGTTGCAAATGAACTTTACACCATCCAAATCATTTTATTTGGATTCAAAGGAATTTGTTATCCGTCCGCGTTCGCTGTGCTTATTTAGGGTCATCGGTTTAATGACATGAATTGGTAATGTTTTGTTTTGTACATTACTATTGTCGGACAACTTTGTTAATTGAGCAAAATTGCAAGACTGGACGTGATGTTCGATAATGTAGCGTAAAGTTATTTCGAACCTCACACCAAGAGAAAAGTTTGTTTACATAAGATGCAAGATTCGATCGTCCGAATGTTTGGTTGACTTTTGTCGATTTCCATACCTAGAAACATGCTCTCAATACTTAGTCACGCGATCGGGTCAGTTCGATTGACAACTTTGCAATCTTGCCTCAAGTAATTCGTTCGTGACAAGATTAAAATGTTTCCGAGCTGAAGTTTAGCCGTCTGCTGCTTATTTGTACTCCTTTTGGACTGATTAACGACTCACGATTTGTTTGGATGAAGTTTGTAAATAAAGTTTCATGGCGCGCCTATATGGTGAGAGAGATGTTGTTTTGGTAAACTAACTTCTCACCACTAGAAAGCGTGGGTTTGTTTTTGGGTCTTTACTATATCAGCAAACCTTGAAACAAGATCCGAATTTTCACCTTTGTTTTCATCCCATATTCTTCCATAATCGTTTTTGGTAAATTAATACTCTTGACATGTCTTGAGCTGTCAACGGGTCTCTTTGTTTGGTTTTTTTGCTCCCATAACTTAAACCTCCAGATTAAAAGCATGATTCAGCAGAACTTAATGGGTTAATGTGGGAAGCTCTACTTCATTAGTCCTCAAGTTGTATCTTAACTGTGATGATCTTTCAAATGGAAAAAAATATTTAAAGAAGATTTAAGAGTGATTTTTTTCTCTAATATAAACATTAAATTGACCACTTAGTCTGGTTCAAACTTTTAAATGACTGGGATTATTGGACTTATTTTCTGCAGTTACCTCAGCATTTTAAACTCACAGATTCTCTTACAGCGAGCAAAGTAGATAACAAGAAAATATTTGCAAATCACACTTCCAACAATATATTGTTAGTGTTACAGTAGCCATATAAGGTTTTTTCATTCAATAACAACGTGATGTTGGTCCTGTGGAAAGATTGTTCCTCACTTTAAGTGATTTGAAAGGGCAAGGCCACTGCCAAACCCATCATAATTAAGGTGAAAAAATTTCCTGTTATTGTACTGTATGCAAGTGCATTTCTGTGGCAGTATCAATCAGTCTATTTTTAATAACTTGCTTTGTACAGAGTTAAAAATGTCAGGTGTTACTCAGTTATTAAAAATGTCAGGTATTTACTCTTTTACGATATTCAGTTTGATAATCCCAGGGATTTGCATGTCCACATTCTGGGATAAGAGTGAAAAGAATTAACTCTACAAGGGATATTTCAGGTACAATTATTACACTGTAACACCTTAAGCTGTTGATGACATACAGTACTAAGATGTATCAACTGACTCCAAAGAAGAAATTTGTCACACTACTTGATGTGTAATTTTCTTTTGCCCGAACAAGGCCAATTTTTCTGTTTGCTTGAAACCCGAAGCTCTAAGTTAAATCTCCAAAGTTGTTGTACTAGATTGGCAAAACAAACAGCACAACTGAGAAGGACAGCTGATGGATTTTATGAATGGTTGCAACAACAGCTTTCCTCACTGGCTTAAATTAGACTGTGCTGTACTTGCAGAAATGGTGTATAACTAATAGTTTGATTACTTTGACTTTGAAATGGATAGTGTAACATGCAGTTGCTGATCAGTGGTGTTTTGTAGTGGCATAAAAGTTTAAAGATAGACACCTTAGAACAAAAAGAGGCTTTAAAAAGTCATCTAAAATAGGAAGGTATTAATTAAAAATAACTCTGAAATCCTTAGTTAAAGCACAAAAAGGTCAAGATTAAAGAAAAGCAAATTACTAGAATTGTTGTGGCTGGTGGTTAATTATAAAGATCAAGAAGTTTAAGGAAGTATACATTTTTGTCAGACAGGTGTTAGACAGGTATTGTCTAGTACTTACATTCTAGTGCAAGGCCAGTATTTTACAACAGGAGTTTTTATTGCTACTGTCATACTCCATAAGAAGATTTATTAAAACTAACTGGTGATATCCTGATCCTTTATTTTGAAATACGCTATATATATATATGCTTAAATCAATCAGCAATGTATTTATTATCCCATAGATACAGCCATGTTTCATGAGCATGCATGTGTAGCTCTAACCTTCGTGCTTGTGTGAGAAAAATCGTATTTATTGTTCTATGGTGCAGCAGCATGTGCTTTTTTGTATTTTCCATGAACATTTTTGCATTTGTATTAAATTGAAAGGAGTGAATTCTTTGCCTCTGTGGCAGGCAATAATTGTAGGGGAAAGGCTGGAATGGAAAATATGGGAGAACAAGGATGCAACGGGCTCCTCCTCCCTCCATACCCTTTATGTACTTCCATGACTTAATTCCTCTTTTTCTTTCTGCTTCAATTGCCTGCCACACAGCTATGCTGGTGACACACAACCAGTGAATCTTGTAGTGCTTGTACTGCACTAATACTGCTTAAAAACTAACATTCAAGTGGTCACACTGGACACATTCTCTCTAATTATCAATATTACAAACAGTGTAACAGAGGGCCAGGGAAGCTTGCTTTTTCTCCTGACACACTAGGCAATATGTCACAGCAGTGAATCTCACCTTGTGTTCAGGTCAGCTGACAAGTTGCATGAAACGTTGCAGCGACAAATTGCTGCATGTGTAATGAAGAATTCTTGTGTCAAATCCTTTTCTCCACAACCCAACAAGTTGCACAAATTGAATTTGTTTTGATTTTGTGTAACTTGCTGGGATGACAAAATTCTGTTATATAAAGACATTGATTTCCACAAAGATTCTGCAGTACAAACAAAGCAATTTGTTACTGTGACTTGTTGCCTACTGTGTTTTGCCCTTCAGTGTTTCTTTGGTTAATTTTAATATATTATTGTATCTCCATATTGTAGGGTGGGGAGGTGATATTTATTACCTACTCTGATGAATATCCTTTGCCAGACAGTGGAGATTTTTATATGGTATTTGAAGGAAAAAATCAGCGTCATGTTACAACAGCACAGCAGCTGAATGCATTCACTCTCCGTGCTATTGTGCCTGGTAAGTAAAAGAGTGAGTTTTAAGCCTTTAAGCCCGATATCCACATACCAATTCTCGAGACTGATCACCATACATTTCCTTAAGGAATTAGTTGAGAAAATGCAACAAAAGATCAAAGCTTTTCCCCTTAGGTGATCATTTTAATACTTCTCATAACCTTTGCTCTTGGTCATGTATTGATGTTGTTGGGAGAAAACTGATGTTAGTGAACTCTTGGGACTGCTATATAGCTCAAAATATTTAAAACTTAGAAATGAATTTTTTGCTCGAATACAAAGTCATCTCCATAATTTTCAGTAGCTTACTCGGACCTGGTGATTAAACTTATGAACTCCGATATTTATCTTTATTTACAATAGATGAATTATATCTCATTACTGAATAATTGGCATGAAAGTGTACTGTTATGTAAGAATAAATAAATGTTACTTGGTTATCTGTTATTAATATCATAATTATTATTATTTCTTTTTCTTTTCGTTCTCATTTTACATACCGTTTGCAATACTGTAAATAATAATAGTCATGTAAATAAAGGTTATTGTTGTTGTTGTTGCTTAATGGAAGTTCAACGGTAAATGTGAATGAAAGAAATGGATTATAATTCCCAAAGTTTGAAAGAAACTGGGCTAAACTAGCATTCAATCTTTAGCTTTGGTGGGGATCAAAGCCATCTAAGGCAGGTATTAAATAAAATTAGTTACTTTGAAGTAATACGTAAATGAAGTAATAAATAGTATGTGCTGATAAAATTCTTTTATTTCTTTTAATAGATCATGACCAAGCAGAGAAGGTGTCCCTTACTATATACTGTACCAAAGATAACAAACTGGGGTCGCTATCATCGCACAAATTTTCATACTCGCTGGAAATTGAACAGATTATTGCACGACTTTTGGCAGATGGTGCGTCAGAGAGCAAGTTATTTGAATGCGTTGGATCCTTATCTGTCATATCAAAAAACTTTTCTAAGGAACTGAAGGACATCCTAGATTCCAGAATAACAAATGCATTTGAATTTCTGGATTTGTCTCCTTCTTGGTCACTGTTTGGAGAAAATGGCATAGAAAATTATTCAAACAGAAATGGTAAGTAACAAGAGGCTTAAATCTTTGTTAAATGCTGATAGACGTAATTGGTGATTGTTGTAAGGATTATGTGGTGGTTTAGTGATTTAAAGGGTGTAATTAATCTAGAATGTACACTACTCCATGGGGAACATTTCCTCTGTTTTTTCCTCTGCAAAAAGGTTTCAGTTTCCCAGTGGTTGTCCATTCCAGTGTACTATGTGTTACAGGTCAAAACTGAATTTGGGTTAAATTTTTTAACCAAGGGTTACTCTCGGTATCCATTGTCTTCAAAGCATAAATAATATTATTTCAGTCTTCTGCAAGTGGGTTTTCAGAGGACCCCTGGATATACCCTTCTGCCTAAGACCTTGGTTTAAAGTACTCATTTGATGGAGAAACCTGAGGCTGACGGTGTGCTCCATTTACCCCCCCCCCCATCCCCCCACCATCAGTGCTATGTTTTATGGGTGTATAAAGCTACTTAAAGCCACAGAGAAAGAAAAGAAGTTGAGACAAGGATTTGTGGTCACACCCGGGAACCAAATGTGGACCGTCCTGTGCAGAAGGCCAAGCACTAACACCACCATCCTGCAGAAAACTGCAAAAGCTTTATTTTACCATGCTGCTTCCAAGACACCCTGAGTTTGCTGATCAATTTTTAACAAGTTACTTTTAATTTAGGCCAGGAAACCCTGCTTCATATTTGTGCCAGACTGGGTTTCACTCAGCTGGCTACATACCTGTTAGATCAGCCTGGATCTATGGAGGCACTTCACATGAAGGATAAGGAAGGAAAAATACCCGAGGAGATTGCACGGGAAAAAGGAATGACATTACTTGCAGATATGTTTTCAAGGTAAGCATCACAGTCAAATCTCTTAATACAGTGGAACCCTGATACATGACAAACCTCTAAATAACGAAAACCACAGTATAACGAACGATATAGTTCAGTTGTCCCCAAAATAGTACAATATGTGGAAAAGAAACTAGAGTACGCTTGAATTTCTAAGCATTTGCGTGACGCGGCGTTTACATGACCGCCATTAGAGAGCTGTCATGTAGGTAAAAGAAATTTAATCACTTATTTCAGGGAATTCTGCTCTCTAAACAGTTCATGTATTAGACAAAGGATTACTTTAATGTTTATGAGTTCCTCGAAGAATAAATTCACGCTTTTGTAGCAAAACTCGGTAACAGATGTTTCTGTTGGATTCTGTCCGCTATTGGTGCTCATCCGGATGGGTACCAACATGGCGTCTCCATACAAATCTCTATTAATTTTGTGTAAACATTTCCTTGGATATCTCGTATACGAAATATTCCTCTGACCTGAATCTTGGCGACGGTCTTTGTATATTTACCTCCTTTCATTTCCCAGATTCTAGACTTAATCTATTGAACGGTTTTGATTTTGATTTTGATCTATTTTGAATGGTGTGACACCAACAACCAGCAATTCCTTGATTAGCTATTGCATAAAATTCAATTTACAAAGGTAAAGATAACACTTAAAACCCTGGTACTGAGTCAAGAAGCGAACATGCTACCTCAATGTAAATCGAGCTGTAAAGAACAAGCTTGTTCTGATAAAAACTGGAGCATAAAACCCTATTCCTAGATCAGCTGCTGCTTTAAACACAATTTGTAAAGCAAACCAGAGCACTAATAGCCCTTTCAAACTAGAAATCATATTAAAACTTGCTCACCTGTTAGGGCCTCTTAAACAGAAAACAAACAGCTGCACATAGGATCACCCAATTTCGAACCACTGAGTTGTAAATACAGGATCATAACGTCACTGCCCAAATACGGGGTCTTGCTTACACCTGAATATGTTCAAAAATGCAAATTTTAGAGGGTTATGCAGAATTTGAGAGTTTTTGCCTACATTGCGTGGGATTATGAATGTGCCGCCAAGGCAACCTCGCTTCTTAGCTCAATTGCCTCGTTGGCAATAAACTCATAGACCATAGACCACATAAAATGATAATATTTTAATAATAATAATAATAATAATAATATTTTATTATTAAGAAAAGTAGATCAAACAGATACATACCTGTAGCTAGGCTGAAAGCCAAGCTTCCAATTTTATATTCTAAAAACTAAAGTGTTAAACTAATTGAAACTCCGCTATTGGCTGTTGACTAATAAGTGTGTGAAACATCACTAGGTTATAGTAATACGCGGTATGGATTCTTTGAAGTTCTATAAGAGTTTGGTGGGGGCTGATAAAGAGGTCTTTGTATGGCGCATGAAGGCATCTAAGTGCATCAGTGCCCTTCAAATTTTGACTGTTTGATGATTAAATAGAACAAATTTCGGAATTGTAAATTATTGCCCAATCCTAACTTTATCGAATTATTGTCAAAAAGAGCTCTGATGATTGTTATAAGCAACTAAATGTTAATAACTTTGTTGAAGGAAAAAGTCAAATTTGAATAACTCTATGGCTCCCCCAAAAATGTATTTTTTGAATATCTCTGTGACAACATTTTGTGTCATGTAAGAATTTATACCTTAATTACAACTGTAATGCATTATAAATCTTCTTTTATCATTGCCACGTACACATGAAAGTGTAAAATCATGAACAAGAAAGCAAATTCAATTAGAGCTTAACACTAACAACAAATGACAACAGCTAGGGGCAGAAAAGTTTGATATTTTTCTTAGAAGGTTCAATTGAAAAAAATTGTTTTATGATGCAGCCCCACAGGATAACTGTTTTAATTTTGTGTGGTTGTTTCTGTAATGCCACAAAATTCTTGCTGTCTAAGTGAGAAAGAAAGTCAGACATGTCAGCTATGTCGTGATTGCACTATGCATAATAGCTGTCACAGCTGCCAAGGCAAATAAATAGCCAGCAAGCCAGCCACACTGTTGTCCAATTTTAGATCTCAGCTTTCAGCTGTACAAGCATTGTCATATTTGAATGAATGAGAGATGGGATCATCACAGTTGTATGTCATGATCAACCTTAGTGGTTTAAAAAAAAAATACCCTGAAAATGGTCAGATTTTTTTCATAACTTCTTAGGTTGATGACTAAAGGTTTGGTGAGGATCATCACATAATTATCATTCATTTTTTTGATCCACTATCCATAATTTCAGTTATTTCACCCTGCATTCTCTATTAGGTTTTATTATTTTTTTGTTCAATATTTATATTTTGTATTTGACAGAGGTCCTGGTGATTGTCAAAAAAGGACGGTGAAGGACACCAGCAAACCGCAAGTAAAGAAAAGTGAAATAGGAACCACAACAATATCAAGTTACAAGTCACCTAAACAGAACTCTCTTGGTAAATAAACAAAAATATTTTTTTAAGAAATGCTCAAATGACATGCAGTAGCAGGTGTATGTTTTCTCTGTGTCCTTTGTTGTTTCTCAAACTAAGCAGTAAAATCATTGGATTTTTGTATATTTTTAGACGCAGTCTGACACTCCATCAGTGTACATTTCAGCATTTATGTGCCATTGTACTTATAACACCTAGCTATGTGAAAGATAAAAATTTAAGTTGTATGCCTCAGTATTGTACAGATTGCACATGTTTGATTAATGACCAGATTCTAGATGCTTGAATTTAACATCAGAGAGCTTTTAAAAGTTCCTTTTTTTCAGTTTTATTACCTTAATCCCGAGACAAAATAAAGTACAGTACTGCTACAGGTAGCTTGTCAGAAATCATTTATACCCATCATCATTATAAACTGCAGTGTATGAAAACAGTTTTTGTTTTTTGCAGAAAAAGACATTGAAATGCTGCGAGACATAAACTCTTTGGTTGAAGAAGAGGTATGTGTTGTCAAATTATCCTTTCCTTGGAGGGAAAGATGCTAAGTAGTAAATTATTGTAAATATCTTATTCACAGTCCACTACTCCTCTCAGGGCTTTTCAGGGACAATTTACAACACTTGTAGGGGGACTTTTGCCAGACTGCTTATGGTGCAGTTTACAAGTAGTGAAGGATGAGTAATGATGCCCCCAATATGTGAGTGTGAATTATTTGAGACAAGACAGCACAGCGGAGTCCCTCACTCTTTGGCTTTTTTAAGGTTCCACAAGGGTTTGAACCAGCAGTCTCTGGCTCAGCAGACGGGGGCTTATCCAATAGTTGAGCTAAACAGGTGGCTGTTAGTAGTAGGTGGTCATATTACCCACAATTGGTTATTGGTTGGCTGTGGCAAGTCCAGTCCTTGGGGTAAGGTTAAGGAGGTGCTGCCGTGCAAAAACAAAGTACCTCAGAGCCTTGCATGCAGGCCATGCTGGCCTTAATTTTGACCTGAACCCTTGGTCCCTATCCTAGATCTGCCAAATGACTGGGCAGCTGCTTGGATCTTCAGTTAGATTCCAGCAGTAGCAGCTGTGAAGTGCACAAGTTGTCAGTGTATTATGGCATGAACTTTCTATATATAGTAGATAAAAGTTTGTGATCTATGTTTTTGTTCTGCTTGTCATCAGATGAAGAAAAGAATTCCAAAGCTGCGTCACTCATGGCCTATAAGAAGAAAAACCAAGGATGTCACAGGTCTGATTGAAATTTAAAATAATGTTTTAGAACTGTACCAAAACAGGTGAATCATTAATGGTTTCCTATCTTGTACTGAAGTGAAACAAGCAAAATCATTCATTTTTTGCTTGAGTTGCATTTTAGCTGAAAATGTGTATCTTATCAACAGTGAGCTTATGCAACAGGACGGGAGGAGAAAGAAGACAGCAAAACCTTCTGTGACAAGCGTGACGACTGATAACATGTTAGAAAAAGGTTTCCCTGAAACTTCGCCTTCCTTTTAACAGATCTTCTAGTAAAGACCAGAACACAGTAATGTTAAGTGAATATCGAGAAAAATCACACAAGTAGTTAAACCCTGCCACATTTGTCACACACAAACGTTTCGCTGTCCTCTTCTTTCTGCCAACATGTTGTGTAAACTTGCTAATCTTGATTGAAATCCCATCATCATTATTATCATCATTATTAAATTGCTGTTACAGAAGATGCATCAAGTAGTGATGAAGAATTAAAGCAAATTAACAGAGAGCTTTCACCAAAGAGGTTCACAAGTCAGCTGAACAGTGTGTCTACAGGAAGAAGCAGTGGTGGTGGCAATAGACATTTACTAGGTACATAGTTAAAGTTTCATGTGAAATTTGGGCTTACCGCTTGAGTAGTTATGGAAAAATTTGCTGAGCTTCCCACAGATAAAGCAATCATACAGTTAAACCTGGAATTGCCTGGATTTATTCTCAACACTCCCAAGTGCATTCCTTAGGCCACCCTTCTAAATGGCCAACAGGTTGCCTCCAGTCAGTTGGGTTTCTTAAGCTCATTTTGTGAATTTTCAAATGTCTGTTTCTGTCCTTATTTGTGGGCCACAATGTAAACTACTGGGTCACCAGAAAATTGTGTTACCCCTGTCAAGCCAATTTTTTGTACCTTAGTGGCACTCACTGGACCCCTGCTAGTGACTTGCTCCTCAATAGAGGGTGTCTGCTAAAAAGGAGGAATCGTTTAGGACTTACAAAATAATGCTTCTGTCTGCTAACAGACCCTTTCTGCATTCCACTCCAGTAAGCACATGTAATAAAATAAAATATTAAGGCTTGGGTGGAAATAACCGAAGCCTCGAGTTGATGTGATATTTGGAAAATTAGAAGATGTTTATATGATATGCTACTAAGTGTTCTCTACTCATTCTCCCCTTTGTTTTGCAGAGCAAAATCTTAAAAGACTGCGAGACATCAATGAAGAGATACAAAAACTTCGAATGGTTAACTCCCACAGAGGATCTCGAGAGGTACACTGTGTTCAGAAGAAGAGTGCAGTTCTTATAATGCAGCTGTAAATCAGCTGCTGACATTTTTGTTTTTTTGGTATTTTTAGGGCAGTAGAGGTGGAATGCAAGCAAGGCATCTGCGTCGCCTGTCTTGTCCATCATTAAGTGGGCAGGACATCTTACAAGCTCATATCATTGCAGGTTAGAAGGAATCCCGTGTAATAAAATGTTATTGTCTAGCTTATGGGTAAAGTTGACACCAAACTTCAAGTCCTATACTGCTCAGTATGTATTTTTTGTTAAAGAAAAGGCTTAAAAAATGGATTTCCTTGTTTTTCCTCTTTGCCTTCCGTGGCCACCATGATTGCATAATCATGACAGTGTACTGGGGACGAAAAGGATTATTTATAGGAATAAAATATTTTGTATTGTTAAATAAATTCTTCCTCTCAGTGTCATTGAAATGTGTGAGAAAGGTTTGGAGAATGTGTCATGATGTAAAGTTTAACTTGGTTTACTACACTGACCTCTTTGAGATGTTGATATTGGGTGTCCTGTGTTCAACAGCAGGGAAAGCCAAGGAGGAAAAGCAAATTATGAATGGCACAGTTGAAAAAAAAGTGGAGAAATATCTCCCAGCGAGTGATAAAATACGAACTCTTCCAACAAAAGGAGATACTCAGAGACAGGAGGATTCTGCTCCAGCTTTAGACTCTAAACTCCTTTCTGTTGACGGTAAAAGTGACAGTGTACGGAGAGCCCATAGCTGGGGAAAATGCGACGAGGAAAGACCGGAATTACACAAGCGGGTTAGCTCAAGCCTTGATGATTTGTCCAAGGAAGTCAATGGCGAAGAAAATAAAAATGTCAAAGCTCGAGGGAAACTTGATGTTGTTAAAAACAAGCGACCAGTGTCATTAAATCTTGAAAGACTTGAATCGCCAAAGGAAGAGGCGAATAAACTTGCAGACATTTTAGATTCAATAAAGAAAGCTAGTGACAAGACCAAATCGACAAGCAATGTTTCTTTGGCGTCACTTAACGATGTTGATGTCAATTTGAACAATCAAGAAAATGCTCTCTTGAATCCGAGTAAAAGTACTCTCCATACAAAGTCCTACTCGTACAGTTGCTTGGCAGATCTGAAGCTCGGGGATGATGGAAATCCTGTCGACGAACAAAAAACGGGGTAAGTTGCTTTCACCCAAACTCGTTCCCAGGGCTCTCTCCTTACGTAGAGACGGGTGGGACAGAACCCTGGAAACGAGGTTGGCCGTAACCTGTTAATGTATTACAGAGATGTCAAAATCTGGATTCTTAAATCTGGAGACCAGGGACCTTACGATCCGACGACGGCGACGGCAACGAGAACGTCAAAAAAGTAAAAGGTTCTCCCTGCGCGGCCTTTAATAAAATAATTTCCGGCGCCTGTCATGCAGGCCATAGGTGTAATAAGCAAAAGACCAACTTGGATGTACACAGGCATCATATTTTTTTTTGTATTTCTTTGCCGTCACTGCCCGACTACGACGTGAAAATGCCTAGCTTCATGTTTTATGAAAGACGTAAATAAGCGACGACATCATTTTCTTTCTCTTCGTGAACTTGAAAATGGTTCTTGGGAGTTCAGTTCCAGGAGAGTTCGCCTACATTTGACAAGAAAGTGTTAGAATACTTGCGCTGAAGATTGAAAAAATGCAAATTCACTTTTTAAGCGACATTTTCGTTTCCGTCGCCGTCCTTGGATCTTAAGGCCCTTCTGTCTCTTTGGTAGTACCTCCGAAAAATGATATTATGTTTAATTTGAGTGATTAGTAGAGGTGAGGAAGGATCCAGGAAATTCAAAACAGTTTGGGGTGGGGACACTTGCCAGCTATCTAGGTACTGTTTCTTTTACTGAAAGTTCTTTAAAACTAATACAAAATTTCACAGAAAAAGGGAGGGGGATGGTCCCCTCAGACCATCCCTAAATGCGCCCATGGAGTACACTAAAAGGACCAGAACAGCGCACATCCCTAACTATTAGTACAGCCTCTTTATTCATTTGTGGTTGATGTACCTGTAGGAAAACCTTGGTTAAGTGTTTGCGTATTGGTCTTTGAAAGATAAATAATATTAATGATCATGACGCATAACGGCAATAACTCAAAGCTCTTAACAGCCATTAATGCGTTGACAATAATATTAACAAAAATCCAACTGAATGCCATAATGCTTCTAACTTTTAATAATCTCTGCAAGTAGTAGATATTTCGAGGACCGAGTTTGACAAGGGTTCCCCCTGTGATTTGAGCTTGTCTTATTTTAAGTCAAACAACATTTGACTGATCTTTTAGGTGATTTGTCTAATGTTCTTAATGAGATACTCTGTGTTTCTTTGTACGAGCATTTGAACAACAATCAATATATTTACACACAGATCTCAATTTAGTCCTGAGGTACAGAAGAGGACTCTAACAAAGGCAGAGACCCAGTTATCTTTGTACGACTTTCTCAATGACGAGTAAGTTTATTTTGAAAAAAAAAGAAAAGAACAGACTTGTTTTGTTTTTAAAGATATTGTTATTTTTTGTGTATTTTTTTATGGATATCAATAGAACAAAGATTTTTGGTGTTGTGAGAGTTTGCTTCTCTATGCTGGTTGAAGTCTAAAAAGGACATTTTGCCATGCATGGAAAAACTATGATAATTTTGTCCTTATTGCTTGCTTGTTCCAACATAAACATCCTCGGGATAGCCGACTTACAGACCATTTTCCTTTTCCTCTTTTTTTTTTGGTAAGGGCGTGGGGAGGGGGGTGTGGGGGTGTTTTTCTCCAGTATTTCTGTTTCCTGCCACACTATTTATGTCGCTTGCAAACTCGTTAACTTTTATGAAGTGAATAGATGTAATGGCTATAGTAAAAACGCTTCTGCTGTTTTAAATATTATTTATTTTCCAGATTTATGGTTTCTTCTTTAATCTTTTTATTAAAAATGATACTTAAAATAAAAATAACAGTAAATGTAATTTGACAACAAAGAGCAGGTAGCGTTCATTTACGCAGTACCATTTTAGCGAGGGTTACGCAGCTTCTGTGACCATGCCAGGCACTCGACCTTCATTTAGTAATTAAATATAGTTTTGTTGGCTGAACTTGATTGTGTGATATTTAACTTAGTAGTTTTATAAAAACATGTTAAAAAACAAAAAGTAACCCCCAGGTATAGTTTTGTTTAATGATACGGCGCCCTTTAAAAGATTGAAAGCAGGGTCAAGTATACAGATAACGTTAAAAATCAAAAGCCTTTCAGGGTCAACTTAAGACTCATATTCAGCAATATAAAGCTTAAACAAGGTTTAAAGGTTTAAAGGTGTAATCATATGATAAAGCAGTTAAAATTTTAAGTACAACCTGTAAGTTGTTTTGTTTTGCCATTATAATCTTGTTCAGTGAAAAAAGGCGTCAACTGCATTTAAATGCTAAAGCTGCGAAGAAGTGGTATTCGCTGCATGCTCTTGTAACCATAAGGTACTGTATAAAAATAAAGTTTCTTTTTAATGATGTTTCTAATGATTTAAATATAAAATAAAAACGAAAGTAGAAACAGAGATGTCAAAACTTAATTGTAATGATGTCTTAAAATGTGTAACTTGAAGAACAGGGAGCATTAGGTGAGTTATTTTATGCGATACACGGGCGGGTGTGAATCGTGAGGAAGTAGCAGCTCAAGTCACGCGCGAAAGAAGGAGAATCAAGTTCCACGCGTGCTTCGTGTTCAGCGCGTTCGCCTCTTGAACGGCATTTCTGCAGGCGGCTATTCAAAGAATAACAATTATTGATTGAGGCTGAGTATCATCTGAATAATTATGGAGATCGAGGAGGATAACACTCTCTGAGATCTCCATAATTCTTCAGATGATACGAAAGCCGAATTTAATAATTGTGTTATTATTCATTCAAAATAATTCCTAGTTTAAAAACAAGCTAAAACATGCTTACCTCCATCGATGTTAAGTTCTTCTTCGATAGTGCATGTTTATCGGCAAATTTAGGAGATAAAGGGTTGTTCAGGTCTGCAAATATTCTCCAAGTAGCAGATGTCGTCCGTCGAGTTGTCTTCCTGTTGTTCTTGCTATATTTTTAGCCAATAGTTCGCCCATACCGTAAAATTCCGAAAATAAGCCCGGGGCTTATATTTTTCAAACGCCCTTTTTGAGGGGCTTATTTTTAGAGGAGCCTATATTCGGAGGGGCTAATATGCGTTTCAAAATCGGCTAGGCTTATATGGGAGGGAAATATGCGTCTCAAAATCCATTGAGCTAGCTTGTAGTTAGAAGGACATTTATGTCAGTAATTTGCACCAAGTTTTGACTGAAACTCACCTTGAGGACGTAGATCTTTCTAAAACTCAGTCATGCAAGTACTTTGTCTATATACGGACCGAGGAAATCTAAGCCAAGACTGAAGAGTGAACTACGCAAACAGCAATATACTGTGACACTTTTTGACAGCAATCATTTTTAAAATCGCTGTGGTTTATGATGAAGGTTACCTTAAAACGTTCATTCAAAGGTGCTTCGTTTGTAGGAAAATCAGAAACTCAATTACTTACGTAAACGATAAAACTTACTTCTTACTACTCCCTTACTTCTTCCTTCCCCCTGTTCATATTGGGAAAAGTACTTCGTTCTTTAAGTGGAACATGTTGTAATACTCCGGTTTTGTTGTCACAGGGAGGCCCACGATAAATCTCAAAACAAATTGTCTCTAGAAGAGTTTCTGGGCGAACAGTAAGTATTGAATGGTAATGTGCTTAAAGAGCTTAACAATTGTTGGATGAGGCTGAGTATCAATTCAGAAACGGAGAAATATTTTGAATGAATAGTAATTATTTCCGCTGCAGGGATTTAGCCCAGATGGCGAAATCCCCAGGAGGCATCCCAGTAGCTCGCTCGTATATATAGAAAAGTTCTTACAGTTTAAATATACGGTCAGTACACCAGAAAAAAAATCTCGATTTTCTTGAACAGGGGCCGCGAGGAATCGGTAGGTAATGATGACGTTTCTATTGTTCACGCCCGCAAGTATGAAATGTTTAGGATAGCGTCAAACAAAATGCCCGAAGGGACCGCTTAGGTTGATTTTGTAACTCTTATTGTACATCCTTACTTTGATATTCTTTTGCGTTACGTGTGTTCAGTGATATTCTGTGGAGCAGTTGTTTTGAAAGTTAGTCTAGCTTATCACTAGCAAAAATATGGACGATTACAGAAATTCGCCGACAAATAAATTATGTGCTGACGTATTCCCTGCTCACAGATGGCCTTCTATAAAGGTTTTTAAAAAAGTATTTTCTTAATAGTTAAAAAGGACTAGAAGGCGCGGGCGTGAATTGGTCAAACCTTTTAATTTCTAAGGCTTACTTTCCGGCTATTAAAATGAGCTGTATATAAAAAGTGAAATAGAAATAGCGAAAAATTACCATTTCTAATCGAATCTTTTCTTATAGTTTAGAATAAAATATTCTCGAAATAGGCTACTAAAAACCTTGTTGATACGACCAGATTTTCATAGCCCCGGCCTTAAAGGGTAGTGTTTACTAGCGGGTGTTTCAGTGTATATACTTCCCTGCAATGCTTGCTTTGTTTTATTTTTCAGCGGCCCGGAAAGTGCTGACGATTCAGAAGAGCTTGAAAAGGTGAGACAGGTGCCAGTATTATATTTAACTAACGCGGCGGTTGTTTGCTGTCAGATCAAATGTGTCACATTCAATCCAGTTTGTAGTTCTGCAGCACAATGGACCACTAGTCATCTGTCATATAGTTGACACTTACTGGCATGTTAATGACTGAAAATGTGGTCGTGTTTGTCAGCTGTTCTCTCGCCCATAATTGTGGCTGAACTGTCCTCTTTGTAAAGGAGTAAAAGGCTAGCTGGTCTCGTGGTTTTATCATGGACATTTCGTAATCTAAAGCCTCTTGCAAAACGGACGCAACATTGTTGGCCAACAACGTCCAGTATTGTTGCGTCCGTTTGCTCGCAGCTAGTTTGTTTGCGCTTTGACAAGCGACGCGAACGACTTCGTAAATGTTAAAAGCGATGCCTGAAAGAAGCCTCTGCTCGTAGGGTTAGCTGTCGTGCGCGCAAATCCCGTCAGCCACCCGCGCAGCCTATTTATTTACGGAAGCGATTCCATGTGTGTTCTAATTTTAGTGGGCAACTTAATATGCTGGTAAAGTGAAAGTACCTTTTTTGTTATTGTTCTCGACCAAAAAGTTCTGAAACACGTTGGTAAAGATATCAAGCAATCACCTCTGGAGAAAATCGTCAGTTTTAGCGATGTTTACACTATGGTAGAAACAAAGTTAAAGGAATTAGTTACGATTTATGCCCGCGCTGGTCAATTGCTCGCCAAATACAACTTTTGTATCATATTGTCTTTCTGATTGTAAAGTGCGTGGATAAGTTACAGTGGATCGCGCTGTTTTAATTATCACTTACGCTAATTATCATATGAGTTTTTTTAAAAAAAGAACATGAATAAGCGACCAGTTATTCATTTGCTTTGATAGACATTGATGAACAAACTGACAATCATATTCAAGGAGTGTCACTATTCTGATATTGTAATTTAATTTGCATTGATCCTCAAGGCTTTTTTGAACACGCGGTTTTGATGCGCTTTTTGTTGATGTTTTTAAAGCGATGTCAGCGATATATATGTGCTGTTTTTATTCACACCCATGATAAATTCTGCTGGTTTATTTACAATAGTTCTAACTTCGTAGCGATTTTTAAAGAAATGACAACGACAATCGCGACCGCGAACCTGGATTTTCCTTGTTTTCATCCTGAATTTTGTCAAACTTACCATCTATTTCAGGAGAGACATGAATCTAAAGGAATTCGCCGATTTAGCCAGCTGTTTTCAAGCAAGCAAAAGGTGGGTTAACTTGTTCGTTGTAGTAATAAAATGCTAACTTTTTAATCGGCCGGGATCAGCTTCTATGTTAATCTACGGATATTGCCTTGTCTGAAAAGGGTTAGCGATTTGTCATTTATAAAACAGCGCCGTGAAATGGCCTATGTAAACATTTTAACAACCACAAATCACGTGTTTGTAAAATCAGCGGTGCTGTACATATACTCGTGGAATACAGTCCACTCGCTCTTAACAGACACCTCCATAAGATGGACATCTCTCAGTGTAAAACGGACACCTAAAGTTGGCCCCTGCCTTTCGTTACTCCCTTCATTTGACTAGAGATATCTCTCTAAGACGGACACTTATTGCCGGTCCCAAAGGTTTCCGTCTAAGAGTTGACTGTAGATTCATTTCATCAATTACGATGGTTAAAGCACACTTTTGTTTTTACCATCTCGTGAGCGGTTGTGTTATATATATATTTTTTATTTTAGATAAACACAGCTTTTCACTCTCATTATTCCGAGCCGGTAAGGTCTCGGAATGAACTTAAGTGAAAGGTGTGTCAGTGTGTGATGCAATGGATAAATTTAGGAACTCTGGCGTGATATACATCAATTTCCTTTGATCTCATTGATCGAGTTGTAGCAATCTCGTTGCCATGCTTTCTCTTCTTCTTGCAACGGAAAGAAGAGAGAGTTGCCTGGAACGATGTCAGGTAAGTAGAGCGGGGAAGTTTAAATTCAGAAACGCCTAGGGCTATTTTTTCCGTAGTATGTTGACTAGAACTTCTTGTAAAAAGTTCGGAACTCTATGGGCTCTGATGAAAAACCGATCATTGCCTGGATATGTTCTAATCAGATCATTCAATCAAAATTTGTTTATATTTCAGCCATTAAAGCGTGAACTTCCAAAGCTTCAGAAGGGGAATTCTTCCAGAAATAGTTTACGTAAAGACAAATCGTTTGGTAAGTGTACTGTATTTAGGACGCGAAGGGAGCATGTTGCCTACGTGTTCCTCAACTTATTTCTTTTTGAGACATTAAGAAAGGGTGAAAAGTTCAATTCGTAGGATGTGAACAGTGGAATATACCCCTTTTCCCCAAAGGCGAAACGAACGAAGAAATAAGTGTATAAATTGGGATGTTTTCCCGGTTGTCGCCATAGTGTTTGATCACTCTTTACCTATCCTGTCTGATTAGGCTTACTCAAAAAAGGTCAAAAGTTTGACTGAAATGCCAAAACACCTTGTACTGAATATGATAAACAGTACCCACAGGAAATTTCTGCTCCCCTGTAGCTTTCATTTTAATGTTCACAATGTAGTCCGCACATTCTTCAGCTTTGTGCAGACTAACCACCCGTGATTATGGTAACCTTGGGTGATTTGTTTCCCATAGCGATGCGCAATAAGGATGGGGAAGATAGCAAGCTTGTTGAAGGGCAGAAGACAGCACTCGGACGCAGAGCGTCGGGTGTAACAAACAAAACGTCCAAGCCTGGGGAACAGGTATGTGACAATCACGTGGCTTATTATCTGGTGTCACGCAACCAAGCTGTCATCAGTGCCTAGATGACTTTGTTGTCAAGTGGTTCATAACTTTATGAACCAAACATTATGCTTCGTTTCTCACGTCTACAGCAAAATCCATTGTTTGTGTTATGGGAGTTCTGTTGTCAAGTTGTCCTTCCGGGAGTCTAGGTAGCCAGGTCCTGTTCTGGTGAAGAAAATGAAAACAAACAAAACAACTAAATTTAAAAGTTGAGAGTTAAGAGACACCACTGTTGATACTGAAAGTGTACTTTACATTGCCAACTTCATCCCTGTTTTAAAGATAGAGAAAATTCGTGCAGTGTTTGAATTTATTAAGAACCAGTTGTTCGAAGGCCGATTAGCGCTAACCCAGGGTTAAATTTTAACCCGGGTCTCTTTTTCTTTTCATCAAAAGAAAATTATTTTTAGAGTAGCCAATTAGCAAATCGTTGACAAAAAGAACGAACCTGAATTTGCTTTTTAAGCTTTCATATCTGAATTCAAATTTCGAACTAACCCTGGGTTATCTTAACCCAGCTTTGAACAACTCGGCGCTGGAGAAAAAATTCATAGTGAATAAATTTCAGGCCCCTCCACACGTATCCGGATATTTTTGAATCCGCAACTTGTTCTTTTCGGGTTAAAAAATTTCCACGTTCACACGTATCCATATTCAAATCGAATTTGCCCGTCCACACGTATCTTGATTCGCTCTAGTACCCAGGACTCCTCTGAGAATATTGGCAACAGAGCATGCGTCGAGGTTGCCGTCTTGAATACTAGTGAACTTACGCAACAGGACGGGACAGGAAAGAAGACGGCAAACCTTGTGTGACAAACGTGACAATAATTCTGCTTGAAATAACTTTTCGCCAAACTTCACTGTCTTTTAAACAGATCTTTTTGTAAAAGACCCGAAAACATTGATGTTAGTCAAGATCACGACAAAACACGCAAGTTATAGCCTTGTCACGTTCGTCACGCACAAGCGATTTGCCGTCCTCTTCTTCCTGCCGTCCCGTTGCGTAAACTCACTAGTATTCACGGTAAAGAACTAGGTTTATCTTGCGACGTCACCGGATGAAAAATATGCGGATTTAGCGTCCACACGATTCCGGATTCATAGCGTATTCAAAAATTTTCACTCTGGAAAGCGGATTTAAAAAGTTGCGGCTGCGTACGCCTGATTCACCGGATACGTGTGGACGGAAGTCGTACCCGGAAGGAAAAAGTTGCGGATTCAAAAATATTCGGATACATGTGGACTGGGCCTCAAACTTCCTGCAAAAAACTGGGGATTAACTAGCGCTTGTTTTCTAATTATTTTAGGTGCCCACGCTTCCCAATCCTAGTTTATTAACACGTTCAGGAAGAGGAAATAATTTATCAGCAAGAGCAAGCCTGCATACTAAGCCGACCTCTCCTCTTTCGTTTAGAAGGTAAATGAAAAATTAGTATGAGGCGGACTGGAGACTTTTTACCGAACCCTCTAAACTCAGTCAGTATAGCATGTTAGTCCAACATTGTCCAACACTGCTCAATGCAAAATGCTGGGCCAACATTGTCCGACACTGCTGGATGAAACCTGTTGGGCAATCATTGTTCAACCGTTTTGGATGCAACGTGTTGGACAGTCATTGCCCAACACTACCCGATGTAACAGGTTAGGCCAACATTGTCCAACACTGCTGAATGTTACATGTTGTACCAATTTTGTGCAACACTGCTGGATGCAACGTTTTGGGCAAACGTTGGCCAACATTTTTGGATGTAACATATTGGGCCAACATTGTCCTGCACTTCTGCATACAACCTGTTGACTCACCTTGCCCAACATTACTGCAGTGCAAAATGTTCGGCCAACATTGGACAACACTGCTCAGTGTGACATGTAAGATCCTCTTCAAAACCTTTTTGGGCGGTGTTAAATATTGGGGCTTCTTTGAAACCAGAATACAGTTGAAAGCCTTGTAAGTGACTACTCAAAATGCTAAGACGTAATAGTGGCGTCCAAAATTGACTCAAGGAGGGTCTTTTCGTAGTTGAGGTCCCGTTACGTCTGCCGTTTGGAAGATAATTAATTGCACGTTACGATGGGCGCAGTTTCGTGTTGTCACTATAGGTTCTGCATGTCCTCTGAGTAGCCTAGTCATGACATACAGCAAGCACAGAAATCAGAGCATGTGTGAAGCGGTCGCATACACGAACTTAAAAACAGTGGAAAATTGTCAAACTGCAAACCGCCACCTCAAAAAGAGGTTCCATCTATCAGGCTTTAACTGGGAAAATGGTGGTATTTTGGATGGTTCCTACGTGGAGGTTAATTCACTTTGATACGTAGGCGTACGACGCTTATCCCATGATGCTATCACGTGATCGTGTAGTTCATTACTTTTTGTTTTTACTTATAAAGCAGAAGCTTTACGATGGATGAAGAGAATAAGGAGAAGGGAAAAGATAAAGGGAAAGACAAAGAGTGAGTGAAAAAAAATGAAACCTGGTGATCTTGATATAATCGACTTTTTTCATGTTCATTTCACTCATTTGCAACGTAGCTGTATGCGTTATGTCGGACGTAACGCTACAGTGCTTAGCTCTGCGTGGTCAAACATTTTGCGCGCTGTTACACTGTGTTGCCATCAGCTCTAGTGGCACATTTTCAATGAACCATCACTGAACCGTCTGTTTGCTTACAATTCTCGTTCAGTTTTAATTTTTTCCCCCTTGTCTATTGATTTTAGTCCCGGTGTGTCGCCCGATGTCTCTGGAGATGACGAGGATGACGATGAAAGCGGTGGGTATCCTGTCAGTCACTTTACAACCCAATCACTCGTAATGTGAAACTCTCCACCTACTCCTCCCTAAGAAAGCAATTTGCCGTAAGTGAGATGACAGCGTTAACGTTAGGGGGACGGGGAAAGTAGTTCAATTTCCCCAAATCACACACTTTGATCGCTGACTCTTTGAAATCTGTTATCTGTTTGCTGGTACTTGCACTAACTAAACGAATTAGTTATCTGATTGGTCTGTTTCGAGATATTTATTAACGGCTGGTTATATTTTTTTGTTCCAGAAATTGGTCTTGAGGTAAGTTGTCCCTTTATTTGTTCTGCCGTTGTTCGTTCACTCGTTGCTCCTTAACATGTTAATTGCTGCACTTTGTAATTGGTGGAAACGTCTTACGCCACTATGCGTGTTTTTCCGCCCTTTGCGCCTGCTTCATATATTGACATGTGATCACATTGTTTCGTTTGATACGTGAAATGTTAATTGATGTATCTAGATCGTCATACTTGATGTGAAAGACTTCAACCCTTTCCTTAGATAATGTAAGATCAAAGAACATTAATGCCATGTTTTATCTCGTACATTTTTTTTTGCAGTGTCAAAATGATCCTAGTCTTGAAATTAAAGATGAACCAGAGGCGTGGAGTGTCACAGTCGACAAGAAGGTACCAGTACCAAAATATTTTTACACTTGCTTTTTATGCGTTGTTTTAAACTCCATTGCCTGTTTTCCAGCTTGCTAAATTTTTCAGTGCTAGGAGAGAGCCAGCCGAATATCAGGGAAAAGAGGGAAACTTAATTTGTAGTTGTAGGCAAATTGTCCTGAAGTTGAGTGCGTAGGGACCCCGATCTAATTTCAGAAGTAGAAAGGAAAATTCGTTGGCGTGTCTTGACGCCCTCCATAGATAGTCGTGCATGGTAGTGATGGAGAAGAAATATACAGCGATGGACGGGTAGAGTTGTTGTTTTAATGTTGTTTGTTAAAGCTTCACCTTTTTTTACGGAAATTTCTCGTCACAGTCGCCGTCCTAGTTGTTTCAGCCCCATCACCAGAAAGCGACAGAAACTTCATTTAACTAATAAACGCTGTTTTCGTCATCAATTATAGATTTTAAAAAAAATGACAGCTAAAGATATCAAAAGACAAGATGTAATTCACGGTAAGGCCGAATGATTGCTTACAACCCGGGAAGGGGGGGACATTTAGGGGTAGTTTGGGTGGCGGTGTGCCCCACGGCCTTGGGACCCTCATTCTCGTTAAGACGAGACATTTTGTTTTGATGACTTTGATTTAATTTGTTTCGCATACAAAAGTATTTTTCAAGTGACCTCAACGAATAAGATTTTAATTAAAAAAAAACTGGGAGCAATACACATGAGAACTGCGCACTACCAAGGTTTACATCCTGTTCGAGGCGTCTGGTCTAGGAAAACACCCTGTTCAAGACGCTAAATTGAGAAATTGTATTCCTGGGACCCTCAAAACCATACCCCGTTCACATACTCATTTTGGCCAAATAAGGGAGTGTCTCCAGGAAGAAGGGGGTGGGAGGGGGGACTTTTAACCGGGTTTATAGCTGTGAAGCGTTCCTCTTTAACTCCAAAAACAGTGACGATTGTATTTGTAAGTTTCCCAAAAAAAGGTTTTTAATGAAGAAAGGAATCTAAGAAATTCTCCCTTGTGTACACAAAATTTTGAAACGTAAATGGTGCTGTAGAGGTTTTCTCAAAACATGTAATCACACCACCGGAATTATTCACAGACTCAAAGAGTTCGAACTACAAACTGAATAAATAATGCCATGTAAAAGTACTGCTGAAGAGTTAGCCTGCGTATCAGGCGCTCGGAAGTAGTGGGCGAAAGAGAAAGCGGGCGCGCGCGAGGGAGACACGCGAGGGGTGTCTCGCGTGTCTCCTTCTCGCGTGCTCGTTTTTTCTTGTGCTCACTACTTCCAAGCGCATGCTACGCAGGCTACTGAAGAGTTTTCATTGAAATGGCCCGACACCATAGGATTTCATGTACAGACTCTAAAGTTAAAACTACCTACTAAATACATAATATCATGTGAAAGTACTGCTGAAGAAATTTCATGTGAGTGATCACAACATAGGATTCGTTCACAGTCTCAAGAGTTAGAACTACCTTATCGTCACTCCATAGTATATTTTAGAGTAAAAGTGTCCCTCTGTTTGGTATAGAGCATTCCCTAAACCAACTTCCACACTTCTGTGTGTGCTACATAATACTTATCCTGTTGTGTGTTATGTTTCTCTTAGAACTGATTCAAACTGAAGTCCATCATGTAAGGACTCTAAAAATCATGCAGAAGGTTAGTATGCCTTTCAGGCTCTTATCATGCGACGTTTTTGTAAGTTATGGCTGCAGGCAACAGGGACTTTTTGATACATATGCATTGCTTTTACTTATTATTAGTGTTGCTCAATTTTGCTTTTTTTACTGCTTCTTATGTTTTGGAAAGAGAAAATACATGTTCTGTCTTCAAAGAGCAGGTTACCCACGCAACGACCTGTCACTGACTACATTCAATAGGAGTAGAAGGTGTAAAACTCACCGCGAATACCTACTTTTATCTTTTCAGATATTTTACAAGGGAATGTTGAATACCTTGAATATGCCACAGGATACTGTCGATCAGATATTGCCGAGGCTTAACGATCTACTACAAATAAACGGTAAAACATATATTGTTAAAACATAGTTGAGATTGTGTTAAACAAAACCACTTTTTAGACTTCGCGTAAATGACACACCCTAAGAGTAAAAGAAATGTTACTGCAGACAAACATTGTCGAAGTTCTTAATCGCTTTTCTGCAACAACAAAGCTTTTATCAGTGCCGGTGCTGTTCACGGGGATACCATGATAAAGAGTTCTTGGTTCATGCTTTGGTCGTTAAAGGACACAAATCAGACTCGGACTAAACCATCTATTTATTCCTCATATACTTACCGAAAAGAGGTGTAGCAGTTAGCTGTGACTAATTCTCGCTTTATTTTTTATTTTTCAATCTAGGAGACTTTTTGAATCTCTTGAAAGCAAGCGAAGGAGAAGATACTGTTGTCAATAGCATAGGAGATGTGTTAGAGCAACAGGTTAGCAAAAAACAACTAGTAGAAGATGATTCATCTTGTACAAGATTAAAAAAACAGCATTTAAGTTTTGACTTTAGAATTGTTGCATTGAGGGCAACTGCTGCGCAGTTGTAGAGAAAACATCTGAAGTATAATATCTGTCGGTGAACTGCATATCGTTTATTTTATGATGAATGGAATAACAGAGAATAGAGTTTCCTTTGTTTTTCTTGTCCAACTTTATTTTGTTTTCTCTGTCATATTCTATAGTTTAGTGGAGAAAACAGCGAAAAGATGAAAAGCGCTTATGGCGAGTTTTGCAGCAGCCACATGGAAAGTGTGGAGCTTTATAAGGTATGAATGTGCACCTGTTGTTTGAATGGAGCGTTTTAACTTGAGGTTAAAATAATTTCGGCACTGCTTTTGACGCTGCCATTGCTTTAAAAAACATTGCACCAATTCTGCAATAGTCTTCCAACGAAGGTATTATGTCATCACGCAACACTCTAGCGTTGCGTGACGACTCAAAGAACGGGCGCATCAGAGACTACTTTTTTTAACCAATCCAAAACCCCACAATTCAATCAGTCGTGAGAAGCTGGCTACGTGTATTTCTTCTGATTGGTTGATTATTTGGGAAACAATGCGTAGGTTGTTGAAGTAATTTCTTTTCTTTTTTCTTTTAGAAATTAATGCAGAAAGACAAGAAGTTCGCAGACTTCATCAAGGTATGTTTTAGGATGAAATCTAATTTTATTGTAATAAATAGGATTACTTTAAGATTGTTATAAGATATGTTGTGGCTGGACACAGGTCAATGGTTTGGTAATGGCCACCTTTTTAAATAAAAAGGACCACATAAAAGTATAAATTCCTGCAACCGGCTCTGATATGTGGTCTCTGAGAAATATTAATGAATGCCTAACTTAGCCTTTATTTGTGTTTACATTTGATAGGAAGCACGATAAATAAAACGAGTTTAAGGTTTGGAAAAGATGTGCCCTGACTTCATTGTTTGTTTTTGCAGAGATGCAATCTGAACAAGCACACTCGGCGACTATCTATCCCAGAGTGCATCACGCTCATCACCCAGAGACTTACAAAGTATCCGATACTTATTGAGGCGATAGTGAAAACTACAAAAGGTAGGTCATTGTATCTTTGATAGCTGTGTTTTGAACCCTTTGGCCAGACATACAATCTATTCTTCGTCATAGAAGGGCTTGTGGCGCTTCTAATGCACTCATTTTGCGAGGCGTTTAACGGAGTTTGATCTTTTTTATTTGTTTCCGTTTTCATTTTAGAGTCAAAGCCGGATTTTACGTCGCTGAAGAATTCAGTCACTCTTGTTAAGGTAATATGAGTTAGGGAATTGACTCCATTGACAGAGCATTACAGGGGACACAAAAAGAGTGAATAGGAATTTATCAATTCGTTTCAACCTCGTTCCCAGGGTTTCTCTGTTGCAATGCTTTTTTTATGGCGACAGCCTGTACTACGACGTCATTTTACCGGAAATTTGGCTAACGGTAGCTGGTTATGAAGAAACAGCCAGGTGGTGTGAGCCAATCAGAAACGGAGAAGTATTTTAAATGAATAATAGTACTTTTTAATATCCAGCCCCGACTTTCCGGGGCGCAATAATTTCATATGACACAGTGGAGTTCAGAATGCATGTAGGCAGATTGCACTCAGAAGGTAGTTTTTCTTTGACTGATAAATCCTTTAAAGCTCAATAATCTCAAACAAATGGAAAGCAGGCGAACATTAGGATTGAAATCTATTTCAGGTAACTTTGGCTCTTCTATGTGGCATACAGTGATACATGGCATCCTTCGAAAAAGTCCATTTCGAAAGGATCCTGCCATAAACTGCATTTTTTCCAATCAGCACGTGCACCGAAAACGCGTTGCATTCATAGGATTAGGTAACTATATTACTTCCTCTTTGCACAGGAAATACTACAAAGCGTGGATCAAACGATAAAGGATTATGAAAAACAAAAGGTATGACTTTGAGCAATAAACTTTTCTCGAAAAGTTCACCATGATACAGTATTTCATTAAAAATACTTCCCTTCCGTGAGCAGCTTTCACTTGTAGTAAATCTTGGTATCAAAATTTACCACTCAGTAAGGTTTACCACTGTTTTCGTTTATTGAACTATAGACTGATCACTATAATGAAAGTGTGGCAGTCAACTAAGGGCTTGTTTACATGGAAGTGGGGGACCTCAGGTAGGTGAGGTAACCCGCTTAGGTGGGGTAACCCGCCTGTCCATATAATCTCTCATTTTAATTTGATTACGTTTAAATGATAGGTGGGGTGACCATATGAGGGATTCTATGGACAGGCGGGTTACCCCAGCTAAGCGGGTTACCTCACCTACCTGGGGCCCACCACCTCCATGTAAAAAGGCCTTAGAAGTCATAACATTTTTCTTCCTGAATTCTTCTGATACTTGTTAACTTGTTCTTCTTCAGCAAGCGCAAGACATGAGAATGAAACTGGATTTAAAAGTTACTGTTACATACGGGAGGAACGGAAAAAAAGTCAAGGTAAGTCACGAGACGGAGGCACCAGCTAAGGCACCATAGTTTTGACCCTGTAGAATACGTTTTTAATTTTGAAAGAATTATAACGAGAGCAACGACAGTACCAAAGTAAAGTATTACGAAAAACAAACGACAGCATAAAAGAGGTACCATTTGCCAGGGTCAGCCACGGTTTTCGGTCGGTCATACAGTATACAGGGGTCTTTAAAATTGGTTATACATTATCGTTCAGCTCAATTTATCGATATCGTTCTTGAGACGGCATATTGCAGAAAGGTTTGGTAACTCGCTAGGGTTTACTTAAGAAACTTCTGTTTATGTATGTTGGTATTACACTAAACCTCCACCGACTGTTACAGTAGTTGTACTGCACGTAACTTACTAGCGTCTGATTTTGCAGAATATTGACTTGGCATCCAACACGAGTAAGCTTATCCATGATGGTGTGTTATTATGGAAGACAGCCAAAGGAAAACTGAATGGTATGTACTCTGTTATCTATTGCCCTAGTATAACTGTGCAGAGTTGTTGTTTTACTTATAAAACCTTTTGCCTTTTTTGACGTTCTCGTTGCCGTCCCTGTCATCGGATCTTAAGTTCCCTATTAGTACCCTGGAATGCTTTACGAGGCCTTTAAATTATAGTGCACCACTTCAATAATGATGAACAGCAAGTGCGATTTAATTTTGCAGAAACAAGAGTATTGATCATGGAAGACATGTTGGTTTTCTTGGAGGAAAAAGACAAAAAGTACAGTTTACTCTCACTTGACCAAAAGGTAATAAAGTGTTATGTATTGGTTAGCCTGAAAAAAACAGCTGACATTTCGCCATGCCAACCGTTTTTTAACCAATCAGAAGCACTACTCAGACCTGCGTTGTGACACGTCAGTAGACAGTATGGAATTTCTGCGCGCGTTCCTCAGACGTCACGTGGTGGAGAAACCAGTGGAGGCGTCGCGAAATGGCGGCTGTTTTCCCAGGCTATGTAACAGTCAGCCATCTGATCTTTATAGGAGTTCGAAGTGGCTCAGTCACCTTATTTTACATTCACACTTGGCTGTCCCTGCACAATCTTCTTTCACCGGGGGTTTCTGTCAGCCTGCAACTGGTATCTATTTTGTGCCTCGCTTTGTAGTTCAGCTCATCTTCAATAGGTCATTTCTGAGTTCCAAAAACTCTCACTTTGAAAACGAGTGTGAAAAGGAGTTCTATTTGCACGACAATAAAACTCATTTTCATAACAATGGCTTCGCACGCAGCCTCGCTTTGAAACAGAGGCTTGGAGCAGCTCGGAAATGGCCTATTCTAGTCAGACGCGCTAGTACAGTTAGTAAAAGTAATGCTCGAACTGTTTATAACTTTTAATTTTTTACTTATACTTATGTGTGTAGTTTGCCCTTCCTTTGTTGCCTGAACCAAACTTTTTTCGTTTTGTTCACCAGGCACCAGTTATCAGGCTCAAGAATTTGATGGTGCGAGAGGTAGCCACGGACCGAAAAGCCATATTTCTTGTGAGCACCAGCCTGCGTGGACCCGAGATGTACGAGATAGTTTGCGAGTCCCCAAGTGAAAAGAAGCGGTACGTATCTAATCGGGGCAATTCTAAGGGCTCCTAACCTTGCTGTTGATTAACTTGTTACCTCTTGCCGTGGCTTAAAGTAAAATTCAAGAAATGGAAATATTTTAAAAGGTCACAACATAGTGTTTCATCCGCAGACTCAAAAGTTACGACCACAAGACAACAGGAAAGTACCGCTCAGCCGCATGAGAGTTCATCCTCTCTTGTCAGTAGCTTTGATTCAAAAGTAGCATGTTCACAAATCCTCTATTTTCTCTTTGGAGATCGTCGAGTGCGCATATGAAAATAAAAGCGGCGAGGGGTCATTGATCACTAGTGCAAGAGGGTGTGGTTTCCTCGGGGAGAAAAATGTCTGTGGACAGCCGGGCTAATTTGAAATTCCACACCATAGCATTTCATCTACCGACTAAAGAACGACTTCACTTGCGGTTGAAAAATGTCAGGCTGCGTTTGACTGCTCTTCTCTAAACTGTCATCGTCAAAAAGTTCTAACCTAGCTTCCTCTTCATTATACATATACACATCTTTGTCATAATACCATGGGCTATTTGCACGACGATGTCATTTTTACTACTTCGACCAGAATCCTAGTCGTTTTTCGTTTCGTATTTAAAGTTGTTAATCCCAGTGAGGTTTTAAATAACAAAACCCTACTTTGCAGAAGCAAAACCCTGAAGGATTCTGGTCTTAGTAGTAAAATGACGTCATCGTGTAAATGGACCGAATGGCCCATTCTGGGACTGTTACTGGGGACAGCGAAAAAATTAGCCAATAGCTGACCGGTGCGTCCTCAAGTTTGAGTCCAGAAACAATTGCGGGACACGTTTCGGCTCAAGTCCCCTTCTTGTTTGTAACTGTCTAGCTGCGAGGCTTATGTTGTTAATCCTCTTTAATGTCTGCTTGTTGTTTAAAGGTGGATGGATATAATTAAAGATGCAGCAGCCAAAGCCCCCGCCGAAGATGACCGTAAGTATTGTTATACGGTTGAACCTCCAAAAAGCGGCCAGACTTGTAGAAAACGTGCTGCCTTCGAGAGCGGCTAAAACCGTGACGAAGTGTCCTTGAACTGGAGTTGTCAGTTAGCCAAGGTTGTTCTGTATTATGTTATACGTTATGTCTTTCAAAAGGCCCCGGTTGTTGAGGAAATAGGACAGGGCTGTCACTAAGATTTCAAGTTGCCGGGTAAATATCACAAGTAGGCGGCGAATCAAACAGCTGGGGATTTCTTTTGGTTCTATTTTTCAATGAAAGTAGCCGGAGGAAATCCCCGACCCCGCCTTTTAATGACAGCCCAGAAATAGAACTTCTCTAAACAGTCCAGACTTCTTTGCTTCTTCTCTGCTTCGCTTTATTCAATTTGGGTCGGTTTTCTTCATATTGTATGTTCGGGTATTTATCGTTGTTGCCGGAACAGTGAAGGTCAAACCAAACAATCCAGAACTGATTTTGTCTCTGCTCCTTTTTGCTTTCAACTTTTAACAATTGGCGACATATTTGTACAACACAGCCCTGACTCTCATTTCTCTTTTAGAACCAGAAGACGGCCTCATAAGAACAGCAACGGATGAACGACGAAAGTTCATTGTCCGAAGGGCCAGTGTATTAATTGGTTAGTACAGTGTTGCATTACTTTATGCGTCTTGCGTTCTCCGTCTTTGTTTGAAGGATGTAGCAACAAGTTGTTTTATAAAGTACGTTTCCTGTCTTAACTGTTCAAGTATATTTTTTTAATCGCTTTTGCAGAGCAAATTCAAAACAAGGAGCTTGAAGACTTTGACAGAGGGAAAAACTTAAGTGAAATGCAGGTATGTGAAACATAGTGGACGTGTGTCATGAATGTCACGCAAGCCCGTTCAGTCTTTCAGTCAAAGCACCGATTTACTGTTACCCCTTCATTTGTGAGAAGCTGTGCATTGATTATCATATTAGTTTGTCCTTTTCATGTCAAAAGCCGATTTTCTCTGATTTTTGTTTTCGTTTTTGTTTTGAAGGAATTGGTCAGTCAAATAGAATCGCTGCAGGATAGTAAGGTATAACAAGACAGAGTGTTTCATGAGTTGCTCATGCCGTGTTGATTTTCTTTGTTATTTGACGATTATATTTTCTCTTTTTCAGTCGAAAATTGATGCTGAAAAAAGTAAAGAGTTGGCAAGGGCTAAGTACGTTCATAAGCCAAACTACATTTTATCATATAAACTTACTGTAAACCATTTTGCCCCTTCAAGCATAAGTTACAGAAAATTTATATTACAAGTGCACAAGTTATTAGTTTCATCGTTTTAGGAATCCCATTTTTGTTTAGCCGCTCTAATTAGCAAGGTTGGAAAATGCTTATGTGACAATATTGCGGATCAATTTGCTACACCAAACGCTGATGCATAGATTTTGATTTTAATGATTAACGTATCCCAGTTTATCAAGTGCACCGCAAAACGTATTGAGCATTCTACTGAAGTGAATTCCCACGAACTCATCTCCGTGAATTTTGTACAGTAATAGAAATACAGAGACATTCTTAGACAGCTACAAGTCGACCTCTTAAACTGCCCTCAATCCTCGATCGAGATTAGTCTTTAAAGCGAGCGCAGCGAGGTTACTGGGGTCCGAGCGATGCGAGTGCCGGTGCGAGTGACAAATTATGCGACCAACCAAAAAAAAATTAAAGGACTTTAAGAAGGTCTACGATGACCTGGTCCAAGTGGAACCCATTTTTTTAAGGTAACATGCACTTAGGTTCTTCCCATTTTTCTGTGAAACGGAGGATGTGTATCTAGACACGAAGTTCCGTGGGTGTCCTTCTGATACAGGTTTTACTTAAATAACAATGATAGTGATTGGGAAGCTTCGGACAAATTCGTCTCTGATCGCGGCGAACAAAAGGACCGCGTTTAAATTCATTTTTATCCCTGTGTTGAAGACAGGCATGGGTGTGAACGCAAACAGATAAAAACAAAGCTTGAGTGTGATTGCAAAGGAATATTCTTCAACACCGACAAATTCTTGAAAATGACGCAGAGAATTCGGAACCCGTCTTGATCCCTTCATCATTGAAAGGTCTGTGTAACTTTCAAGAATTTGTTGGTGGTAAGGAATATTTCGTTGCGATATAATGTCCCAACAGTTGAATCTTCATTCTTTAATTGAGTATAATTGTCTTTTGTCCTCAGGGAGTCTCTTGTCACAGCTATCCAGCAGGTGTCATTCGATGGTGCCTCATTAGAAGAGCCCCAGAGTGATACCCGAGGAAGCACCCCATCGCTGGCCGTTACTGGACCCGGGTCAAATGGTCCTAAGAGGGCGGAGACGTTCAGTGGGTTTGATACCAAACTCAAGCCTGATAACATCAACCGAGCCAGTTCAATGAGAGCTCCCGAGAGACCCGGTATTGGGTTCCCGTCAAGGCAAGTTCCAGGTACGATCAGTCCCGTGGTAGGGAGCCCTAAAGTGAAACACAAGCGGAGAGCTAGTGGAGGAGTCTTGCCCTTCCTGACCAAGAGTAACAGCAAAGAAGACAAAGAGCCGGCTGGGACAACAGGTAGGCTGTGCACCTCGAAACCCGTTAAGACCCGCCTCGGGCCTGTAGACTGCAAAACAGTCGGGTTTTTTTCAAAATCAGTAAAGAAATCGGGAAAGCGTGGCGTAAGAGTCGTACGCGCGCGAAGCGCGCGAGCCTCACACGCCCGTAGGGCGTGTGAGGCGAGAGAAAAAAACCGTATTTTTGCGTCTCTCCCCAGTCTCGCTCTCTGTTTTCAGCCTCGTTCCAGACCTTCTGTTTGACAGCTCGCACGTACTTGAACACGCAATAATTCGGACTGTTTTGCAGTCTACGGGCTTGTGGCTTACCAATGAATCCAAATTCATAAGTATTTCTTCCATGTTGATGTAACTGGAAGTCCAAGTATAATATTTGCAAATTAACTACACGTAAAATAAAATATAGTTCTTTGGCATTTTAAAAAAGCTAGGTCAAAAGCTGGTTTTTTGCTGGTTTGAGAGTTGTTTTTTAAAAACATGTACCAGTTTGTGCAGTGTACACTTTAGTACACTTTCACACTTCACGTGTCTTGGTGAATTACTTGTCGTGTTTCAGAAAATGTTGGTTTGAAATAACACAGTCAACTGATACGTGAAATGTTGATTGAATGTTTCTTACAGGTGACGGGGCTTCAGACTCGGCCTCATCATCGCCCACTCAGACTCCTATTCCATCACCAGGCCCTGGACAGGAGGTGAGTAGTCACCTACAACAACTTTGCACATGCATCACGCTTTCTTGTACTTTTCTTCACCGTCACTGCACCGCGAATACGACGTGGCAAGTGCCATATTTCACGTTTTATAGAGGACGTAAACAAGCGACGACGAATTTTTCTTTCTCTTTCTAAACTTGAGTGCGGTCCCCAAGAAATAAACTCCAGGGAAATTCATCTACATTTGACATTCTAAGCGAATTGGAATAAACTCCAAAAAGCCGTCGTCCATACTAAAGCTCAATAGGCCATTTGAGAAAAAAGGTGAACGGTTTGTTTATGGTGGAAAGTGCACTTAGCATATCCAGCTAGTTTTATAAGTACTCCACTCAAATAATTAGAAACTAATAATCCAAATAGAAAATAACAGGATTAAAAAACTTAACTAGCAGGAGGCAACTAGTTGGCTATTTACAATCGTGGCCGAGGTTTTGAAATCAGAACGACCGAGCTTGACTTGAACCTGAAACACCACAGTTTTTCTTGTAGTTTTGTCACGTTTTTGCAGGACTAAATTTTGTCAGGTTCGACACCTACTAAGCACAACTTCAGGGTAAATGCCCATGAATTGTAGGAATCGGAAAGTCTATGCTTTTTGCGTTGCAGGAAAAAAAGCATTGGTTAATTCTATGAACTTAAAAGATCTCTTTATGTATTTTTCAACAGTCTGAAGGCGGTAATGAAAGTGACAGGTAAGTCATGGACTACATTCTTTCTTTTTTTCCCTTCTAGTAAAAAATGGTATTTTGTAGAGGTACGTCATCATAAAACCTGTCTTTGAATTATGGGTTCTTAAAAAAGCTAGACATAGGCATAAAGTAAGAGTTCTTTCTTGTGAACCTACTGCTTATCTTATTTAAATCATTTCTTTTCTTTTACTGGTCGTGCTATTTCACTGGTAATTTTTAAAATCTCACATGTACTTAAAGCAGTTTTGTACAAAATGTGGCGAAAAAATAAATCGAAACTTAAACTGTGCTCGTTCATGTGCCGTGTTTAAAAACAACCATACTCCTGGAGCCTGGCGGCGAACAAAACTCACTCACAAACTCACTCTTCAGACTCGCACGCGATGAGGTCGCGCGCCTTGAAACCCCGGGAAATATGTGCTAGTCGCGTCAAAAACTAAAAACTAATAGTTTTATCTTTGAGTCAAGGGTCTCAAAGAAACAAAGCTCACTGTTTCCCTCCCAGTCCAAATAGCTACGGCGCTCGTGGATGCGAAGTCTGGAGAGAGTACGTCATCGTAGCCCGCCAAATTTTACCTTTAAGCAAACAGTGACTACTGGGTTTCTCGCTCATTTGCTTTCGCTGTTAGTAAAACGCTGGGAAGACGTAATTACTGGAAACCAGAGGAGTCAAATACATTACAATCTATGATTAAAACCAGTGACTGTAAAAAATAGGAGGAAAGTTGAATTTTATACTCGCGTAGCAGCGACTACGCCACAAGACAGGCCTTCACGTTGTAGGATTTAGTGCAAGGGTTACGGTACGACGCAACGGCGGAAGTTAATTTCCAAGCATGCGCACTGCGTCATTTTTGTTTTCTTTTTATACTTCCGGTGCCGTAGTAGAGGTCGCCGTAACGATTTGCTTTAAATCCCTATTATTCCAACACTAGGCTCTATGTTTATCTCTTAGTGCAATCAAGAGTGCTCGTTTTAGACCAGTGAGAGATCGAGGAGACATGTCACCTCCAGCAGTGACTAATGTCGAAGCACCTTACAGCAGAGTAAAGCCGACTCCTAAAGAGGGCCTGTCGCATATTTCCTCACCACGCACCCAACGCCAGGCTCGCGAACTTCTTAAGAGCGAGGGAGATAAAGACCGAGATCAAAAGTCACCAAGCACTGCACCAGAAGTTATTTATTTTTGATTATGTAAGTAAAATCTGCGTGTCAATGTTGCCTAAAATTGTTCTTCCAATAGGCCCTTTGTAGCTAGTTATTCACGTGGTACAAAACCGCAATGCTGGCTTGTAAGCGGGAGATACACTGTGAGGAGACAAACAGGAAATTACTAGTTTAAATCTTGTACATCTCGGGTCAATGTAGGTTTCGGAGAAACTATCTACCTTCCCCTCCCCTAAGCCAACATTTTGCCCTAAGTGAGAAGTAAGTGTTAATGTTGGCTTAGGGGAGGGGTAGGTGGGCAGTTTCCCAGAAACATAAATTGACCCTACATCTCTTGTTTGTCCTGTCCTAGTCCGTCTCTTGCTCTCCGGTTTACCACGTGAATGACTAGCTGCAAAGGGCCTGTTTGTAGGTGAGTCGGGAAAGGGTAACCAGCTATGTTCGATCTCGTCGGCCGGCTCCAGAGGTCTGTTCTTAATTTATATCCAAGATTAATTAAACTGCGTCCGTGGTTTTAAAAACGCGTTGCTCCTGTTTGTCACCTCTTCGCCGCTTCGTTTTCACCTGATTAGGTCCCGGTTCAAACGTCGCCGTCGCAATTCACATGTAATGTACCGAATTTATTGCCAATGAAGAACATTAAGTTTTCTCGCTCATTTGCAATAGGTTCGGCACATGTGAAATGCGACGTTCAAACTGAACCTTTGCCTGTTCCAGCACGGGCTCAAACACTGGGAAGGCTGAAAGAGAAGTGCCGGAGCAGGGAACAATAGCTTAGGTTGGGGGTTGTGAAGAGAAGGCCAAAGAAAGTTCTTTGCTCATTACAATCAGACAAATAAGACGCAAATAATACGTTTTTGAATAGTCTTAGAAGGAACGAAGTTGAAACCCAAGTGGAATTTACGTTAAAAAATATGGAAAGGGCTAGGGTCACCTGTTATTCATGTTACAGTTAAGAAAGACAGTTTGCTAGTGTATGTACTTAATTTTTTCGGCATTTTGGCGGGTCGGTGTGGTAGTGTAGTGGTATTAAAAAGGGAGACAGTGTCCAGGGCTGTCACTAAGAGCCGGGGGGCCGGGGATTTTCCCCGGTTACTATGAGCGTGAGCTCCGGCTACTTTCATAGGAAACAAAAGGAAAATAGAACCCAAAAAACTTCCTAGCTGTACAATTCCCCTTCTACTATTTGCATATACCCGGCAACTTGCAATTTTTAGCGACAGCCCTGACTGAGAGACTAGGATGCGAAAAGTCCGGGTTCCAGGTCCAGGTTCGACCCTGGGTTGCGATTTTCTTTCTTTTTGATAGAAACGCTTTCAATAACAGGTCAAAAATTTTTTAAGTGTCTTAAAATGGCAGCGACCTTTTACGATAGGGACAGCTGCGTTGGCGCTTCTGTTTTCTGGTCCTGCTCTCTAAAAGGGTATGTCCATTTCGAGTGGGCGGTCGTTGGAAAGCTGCCCATCCTATTTTTTAAAAATCTTTTTCTTTCTTCTCTTTGCAGAAACGCCTTTAATAGAAACCAGTTTTGCTCTTTACGGGGACATTCCACGAATCAAGTGTAGAAATGTGTAAATACGATAGGGGATGATATAAAATGTACTTAATTAACTATTGTAAAGTCACTTGAATGTCAACTATTGCTATAACATAGGCTATTTTAACAGCTGCAACAAAAATTAGAGATACATTATTGATCGGTAGCTGACTTAGAACAATTGTAGTCTTCCAAAATGTTACTTTGGCTGAATCAAGGATAGCCTGCGAACAGCAGACGCATTTCCGGTCGTCGCTTCTCTCCCTCCGAAAAATTTTTCGGAGGGAGAGAAGCGACGACCGGAAATGCGTCTGCTGTTCGCAGGCTAAATCAAGGAGGAAATAACACAAAGTGAGACAATCTTACGCAACCGATATGATTCAAATAACTTTCGTGAAGGGTGCTAGACGTCCTTGTCTTCTTCTTATCATTGTTTAGAGGCCCTTTCGTTGCGTTTGTTCTCACTATTCTAATGTAAAGAAAATCCTGATTACCGGTTTAATAACATGTTGTGTGGAAAGATGTTGCCAGAATAGATAATCTTTTCCATGCTCTTTGCCGATCTTTGTAGATTCCATTTACTGTGTTCACGCGTGAAAGACTGAATAAATCATATTTTTGTACAATTTAGTACTTGTCTCCGTATGAAGTGATCAGTGGTTTTATGGTTCCTTGACGTCGTTCTGTGACAAGGATGCATTAGGTTGCATATACAGGGATACCTGTGATACGTGAGGGTTTGTCAAGGAAAGTACCAAGATCTCTTACACCTCTATTAACATGGTTTGGAAGGGCATTCTCGGGATCCGGCATTAGAGCAAAATATAGTGCGGGGCTCGGGAAAAAAGCAAAATTTCTTGACGGGATACGGGATTTGACCGCTACTCAGGAAATGAGATTTGCCAAAATCTTGGCATGGGACGCGGTACTGGGAAAGAAAACGATATTTGAGGTTATATATTCTACTCTCCCCAATCTTCCTCTGTCATAAAATGAAAGATGGCGGCTTCAACAGTACGAGCATAAACAAGACGCTTTCGCCGGCCTAAAAATACTACTGAATTGCAGGCTATATTTGAGATAGAGATGAGAGAAGTTTGAGATGCGGCTTGTCCTCAAAAAGCTAAAAGGAGCGGGAATAGGAGCCCTAATGGGCTCCTGGCGGGAATGCGACATCAGAGCCCCCTCCCCTCATCAGGACCGGCTGCGCTACTACCGTAGTGGAGCGAAGAACTGACAGGCAACAAAGACTTTCCTCTCCTCTGCTATACGGATTGCTTATTTAAGAGTCAGGTAACCGTTCTCAGTAGCATACGGAAGACATTGCATTTCCTATTCAAGGGGAGGTGTTTTAAGTGCTCGTTCCGCTCGCCATGAATTGAGAAACTGCTCGCAGGCTATCGCTATCTTACGTTTATCGCGACTACCATGAGTTTGATAGGTGTGCGCGCAGTGGGATGCTTGAATATTGGGAGTGTGGGAGACGGGGGACGAGACTAACAACTTTTGTTCCTCAAAAGATTGTTAGACTTTAAAGTTCACCCAGGGTTATCCCACATTTAATTAAAGTTTCTTAAATAGGATCTTGTAACCTGTAACTGAAGCTTATTGGATTGAACCTTTACCGACACCCAGTTACTAAGGATGACCCAAAAATCTACAGAAAGATTGAAACAATCGTATTAATTATCCTGGATTAACCCTAATCGGTCTTTCAAATACCCGGCTTAGGTCTTTAAATTACTCCACTTCTCGTAGACCCAGGGGTTGGACACGGCTCTTCCGCCACCCGATTGTTCGCAGGCTACCACCCACCCGGGTCTCCGAGGATGTGTTGCTCTCACCCGCTCAAGAGAAACGAGACCAACTGACGTCTGAGAGAACATCCAAACAATATTGGCCTGCTTAAACAAAATCTGAAGTTTCTGCTGCTATCCTATCCTTATTGAAGTTTGAAGCTACTGACTTTAACTTCTCAGCAAAAACAGATGTACCAATATGGGGTTGGCTTTTACATACAGTGCGGAAAACATGTCATCACGCACACACTGCCGTTTTACATCACTAGACTATTGTAAACAAATCTGTATAATTCGACAATTTCCATTGATTTAATGCCATATTATCAGCAGTAAATTTACAGACAGTTAAACATAGGAAAGGCAAATCTATCGGGCAGAACCAATGTACACTACTTAATAATAAGTCCCCTGTTAAAAATATTATTCTGATTCCATACAAAAATATCATAAACGCATAAGGAAAATTAATATAACTGGTGGTATCAATTAAATTGGTTTTTCAAATTTTAAAATACAAGGATAATTTGTTTGCAAGAGAAAAGTAGTTAACCGTTAAGTTAATTTCTAATAGTGCTTTTACATAATCATACTCCGCTTCCAATATCGAGAGAATCACGTCAGTTGGTTAATTTGAACAGAGAAATAATACCGCTCTCGATTTACACTTCTTAGGTTTTAAAATGACGTTAAAGGAAATATGGCCTCGAAAAATTCAGAAGCCAATATTGACCGCACCCTTCCAGTTTTCCCACGAAAACTAATGACGTTTGTGCCTATTGAACACAATTGATATCTCCGATACTTCCTTGTTTTAAAATTTCCTTCGCTCGATGATTGACATAATTGCACCCGTTATCACCACATTAAATGGTTTGCCGACAACGTCCTTTTCGGCGTTTTGTTTTGTTTCGGTAGTCATTATTAAAATTGCCTCCCAGAGCACTAAGGTCATGGGTTCCTGCTAGGGTATAATAGTGAACGGCCATTTTTTACAATGTGAAGGCGGGTAAAGGCCTGCAGCCCAAGAATGTCATCACAGAGTTTTCATTTTTTTCCCGCAGAAATATAAGATCCGCCAAACAGTCACTGAACAATCGCTAACAAAATAAAACTTGAGCGTCCCTCCCGTTCAGCCCCCCCCCCACCCCCACCCACCTCTACCAAGCAGAAGTCATTGTCACTTCTTTTTTCGAAAGTGAAGTCATGGCCAGTTTCTTTGAATGACATCATCTGCGATGCGTCTTTCATTTCACGATGACAAGCTTATGATGTCATCGTATTGTGTATAATGCTTCAGACAAAGGCTTTGCTATAAGATGGCTTAGGATTTGTTCCAGAACGTTCCCCTCAATGAAACGAAAAAAAAAGTTTTTAAAATTTATACTGTAGCGCAATTCTAAGTTACTGAAATAAACTATTCCTATAATTTCGTAATGTATGTGCAGTTTTTCGTTAGCGCTTTTTTCCTGATAGTATATAACTTGGGGGCATGGAAACATTTCATCATCTTTTTGAAAACAGTATAACTTAACCATATTAAAGCATTTTAATGGCAAAATTTACACTGATTTGTAAACTCATGCTTAAAACTAGCTTTTCACCGATCTGAAAACAGCCAAAGAGAAAACAGCCATGTTCCCCTTTGCCATGTTTCCCAAGTCAAAAAATCGTAAGTTCCTGTAGCAGCATTTCCGGTTCTCAGAACAGGTTACCCACTACTTCCGGTCAGAGTGACCTCTACATTTTCTATCACTCAGAGTGTTCGATGAACTTTATGTCATGTAAAACGTCGTCAAAAAACGATCACTTGGACAACGAAGACATCTTGTATTTATGCATCTACAATGAACCTTCAGATTTTTTCACACGGCTACGGTCTCCTAGTGAAGTGGGACAAATTCAACAAAGCGGTCTAGAGGTGCGATTTATCTTAACATGAGTTGTAATTTCGTTTAGAAATTCCACTTTTGTTTTCGTCCAAAACAATAGATTCAATAGGCGTTTTTATCGTCGTGTAATTATTTGGTACGAAAAGTTCTGATGCTATTCAAATTAGGATATTATTCCATACCAGTTTTCACTAAAAACAACTGAACAAATCGTTATGCGCATTTATATATGCGACTGTTCGGGAAACGATAACAAGACTATAAATAGATCGTTGTCGAGTGTTTATAAGGTGAATTTTTCTTGTGTTCTTTCTCGTGCGATCAGGGGCACTATTCACAAGAACTAAGAAAGGTAAATGGTGCGTGAACAAACTTGCTCGAGAAGAAAGGAAAACATCGTGCAACCCTTGCTGACAGAAACAATATTTAATATTCCCGCCTGTGGGAATTATTAAACAGGTTGGCGGCGATCTGCTTCTCCCGGATTGAACGCAACTTATTTATTCATTTAAACATAGCCGCGTCGAAATGAACATCACGGAGAGCGTGCTCAGAGATCACTCTCGATTACGTGTTGGTAACGAGAAGACGGATTAGAATCTCCAAAAGCACAGTATTATGGCGATTTGAACAAACATTGAAGAGGGTAAACCGGAAACCCGAACTATGACTACTGCGACAGAAGAAATCGTCGTTAGCGTTACCCCGCGTAATAGAGCGAATTTTCGAAGGCTCAAAACTAACAGCATACAGAGTTATAAACGATGGGAAAAGGAGAACGAACTTCTGTACGCCATGATGGAAGACGAAAGCGAGTGGTTAGCCAAGTTATTTCCCGATGTGGTGATCACTCCGGATTTTTTCTTCTACGCTTTGGAAGACGGTTCGCTACTTTGCCGACTTGCGAATTACATCCAAGAGAAAGCGGAATTATATTCCAAGAGGCACCACATTCCGGTGCCTGGAAAGAAATTTCGTTATCATACTATGGGCAAATGTAGTAAAGAAATCAAACTTTTTAAATCCAGGGAAAATGTGCAACAGTTTCTCACCTGGTGTCGAAGTCACGGCATTCCCGAAGCAATCTTATTCGAATCGAACGATGTTGTGCAAGTTGACGATTATCGAGAGGGTTGCAGGGGGATTATTATTTGCCTCATGGAAATTGTAAGAAGGACAGCAAAGTTTGAACTTGATGAACTACCAAAGTTAATTCAGATGGAGAAAGAAATCGAAGAGGACGAGGCACAATCTCACACGGACATTTCAAATGGGCAAGGGCAGGTTTTGGACGTGGTGGAAATAAACAACCATGAGGTACAAGGGACAGATCCACCAGAAATTCAAAGCCCCAGTTCTATGGACTCTGATTCCGGAGTGGACTCAGTTTTTGACCTAGAAGAAGGAGATAATGCAGCTTCTCGCCTTAAAGAGTTTTGGCATGAAGAGAGAGAAATTATAGAGAAAACGGAGATTACTACAACCACTGTGACACGAAAACAAAACTTGTTGAAACCAAAAGATCAAAAAAGTTCCCTAAAGAAGACGTCCAAAGAACTTCCGTCTCTGTTAGAAAGCACCGGGCCGAAATCCGAATTAGATAAACAGGTTAGTAGTTTATATGCATTTTGCAGTAAATTTTATGTTAACTAAATGAAAAGTTTTAAGTACTGCTAATTAACGATTCCATGGATGAACGCAGTTTAAAAATAACATATTACACTGGTGAGAATGTTTGCAAACTGACTTGTTTCGATCTGAGTTCGATAAGTAGGAGGTGGAATTTCATGTGTCCGAACTAAAATGCTTAATTATAACTTCCCCGAAAAATGAATTCACATAATATGAGTACAAAATAAAAATTTTTAGTGTGTACAGTTAAGCAATATCCGTTGCACTGCCACTGATGGCGCTCATATTATGCAAATATAATTCCACTTCATTAATTGCTGATCAAAGTTGATAACAACGACATTCTGGTCGACTCACGTTTCGTCTGAAACTCATCTTTCATCTAAGAACGGAAAATTGAACACCTTATGAAAGCTATTGTGAATTGTAATTTTATTTATATGTCGATACTAAAATGGCTCGAAATCATTAATAATTATAATACATTTACAATGTAACCTGATATAAAAGTCGCATTTTTGGACAATTAAAACCACCTGTCCCATGTCAACAGCCGGAAAGCTTTTTTACTTAGCGAAAATAATAACGTCGTATTAAGTTTGAATGGTTTTTTGAGACACGTCTTCAGCTTAAATCCATGGAAACAAGTTTACGTTCGGGCGCCAGCTTTTCCCTGGCTAGAAAGCCAGTCAAATGCACTTTAAAATCACGCAAGCTAAGTGACTGCAGTTCTTGAAAGCTTTAGTTATAAAAAGTGATGATTTTTTTTACGAAAGTAAATATTATTTGCATAGTTATAATGGCTAGGTGCATTATACAGCTCCAAAAGGTCAATATTTTTCCTACCACCCTGCCAGAAGCCCATGCCAAGATATAAGTATTTTTAGAAAAGAACATTCTCTACTGGAAATTTCTATATTGGTATAAACATATAGATCTTGGATGAAAATAAGTGTGTACATCACAGCTAATTAAAGAATGAAATTTGCAATTTAATAAGTTCAACCCAGGGCTTAAACATGTTAAAATCATGAATAGTTCATAGCATGCCACATAAGCAGTGATATTGTTATACAAACACAGTCATATTTAATAAAAGTGTCACAATTCATTCATAAATGTAGTCAAATGTCAACGTATTGAAATTCATACTTGGCTCTAGGGCTTGGGGGAATGAAACAAAAGAAGTGTATAAATTATTCATCCCAAAACCTAGTCTTCTTCGCAGCTGCTCAGACCCTGACTCTAGCCTGAGTGGCCATGAAGGAGATTACCCAAAAATTGATCAAGGAATTTTTATATTATTTACCCATTAGCCTTGCAGCCAAGTATGAGTTTTGACACTTTGCAAGTGGTCTATTCATAGTGGTTTTTTTTAAAAATAAAATCCCTTTTACTTCCAAATTTTCTGTTCAATTTTTAAATTGAGAGAAGTGTCTTAACGACTGCACAATAGATTCACTGCTTATTATGGTGGCCCACAACTGTCACGGCAAAACCAAAAACCTCACGGCAAAAACAAAATACCTCACGACAAAACCAAACCCTTACGGCAAAACCAAAGACCTCACAGCAAAACCAAATACTGCACAGCAACAGCCAAATACCTCACGATAAAAGCAAATACCCCTCAGCAAAACCAAAGCTATTTTGTTTTTGCTGTGAAGTATTTGGTTTTGCCGTGAGGTTTTTGGTTTTGCCGTGAGGTATTTTGTTTTTGCCGTGAGGTTTTTGGTTTTGCCGTGACAGTTGTGGGCCACCATAATAAGCAGTGAATCTATTGTGCAGTCGTTAATGAATTTTTTTACCCATAAACAAAATAATAATCAAAATTAATAGTAATAACAATAATAATAATAATGATAAATACTCCAAGTTCTATTTGCCTCATTCATCATTCAAACAGGTGTGCAAGATTGCCCAAGACTACAACATTAAAATTGTTCATCGTCTCAAAGAAGGGAAGTACATTATACTTGGGCGAATCATGTTTGTGCGGGTAAGTATAACCTGAAAGGCCAGTTTTGTGCATTTTAAGATTTTGTTGCTGCAGAAAATATCACTCCTCCATGATAAGTTTGGCTTGCCCCACCCCCCCTACCCCCGAGAGGTACTTCAAATCCTGACCCTGTTTAAAACAAAGTCATTCATTTTGCTATCCTTATGACTGTAGAATAGACCATTTTCGATATATTAAAATTCATACAGCATCTTGGTTCCAAGGCTTGGGGGAATAACAGAAAAGATTTTTTTGGGTTTATTCCCCCAAGCCTTGCAGCCAAGTATGAATTTTAATATATTGGAACTGGTCTAATATGTAGTTTTTCAAACTAAAAACATGGAATTAGATAAATTGAAAAAAAATGTTGGTACCACAAATGAAGAACTCTCATCATCAATCCCCACACATTTTAAAGACAATTAGAAGGCTTTGACGGTCCAAAAGATGCTAATAAGTGAGATCATATACCCTGTTTTAAGACTCAAGACCCTAAAAACCACCCCTGTTCAATTCTCCTATGCAGTTAAGGCCAAATAAGGGAGTGCACTTCTCTCCAAGAACCCCCTACTCCTTTGAAGAATTCCAGTTATACTTAAAAAGTTTGGTATTTTTATGACCCCCCCCCCCCCCCCCCCCCCCCCCCCTCACTTTTTTTAAACACCAAACCCCAAAAAACCCCCCCCTTTAAATTTCCCAATGCAGTAAAGGCAAAAAAAGGGGGGGCCCTCCCCCCCAAAAACCCCCTACTCCTTTGAAAAATTCCATTTTTTCTTAAAAATTTTGGTTTTTTTTAGCCCCCCCCCCCCCCCCTCAACTGAATTTCCTATGACTGTCTATGGTAGGTATGGATATTTCTGACACCACAAGTTCTATTTTACCTCTTTGGACAACTTTGTCCATCGGAAAATGGGTGAAATCTTTTTTCTCATTTTTTTTTGTGAAGTTAAACAGTTTACTAAAAATAATCCTGTAACATTAAAATTTTTGTGTAATATTAGCCCCAATTCAATTCTAACATTATTAAATTAATGTATCTTGTGTGCATTTTCTTTGTAGATGTTAAATGATCATATGTTGGTCAGAATTGGTGGTGGTTGGGATACACTGGAACACTATCTCATGACCCATGCACCATCTAAAGAAGGTATGTAGGCTGGGCTGTACACTGCTGTGTTATTTTGGCCTGTATTTGGAGGTCATGGAGTCTTCAAGAGGCTTAAGGGTGTCTGACCGGTAATAGGATTTATTTGATTGCTAAGGATAGTCTCATGTCTTGATAGTCATGACCAGGAGCCCATGGACTCCTGATATGACGGGGTGGTCGAGGTGTCAAACTATCTACAAAAAACACTACCAGCCAATATTGGCGAATCTAGCGGAGGAGCCCAGGGGGCCCTGGTCCTCTCCTTACTTTAAGGTCAAACTGAAACCTGCATAGCTTGCTAATGCAGATGTATTTCTGTTTGCGGCTATTCTCTTTTCCTGAAAAGTAACTTTTTGGGTGGAGAGAGGCAACAGCCAGAAATACATTTGCATTCAGGGCTGAGAAGAATTGTCTTTGATGCCGGGGTCCCTCACTAAATGAGCAATAATAATAATCATCATCTTCATCAAATTTATTTAATGAGGGTAATACAGGAGAGTAATTCAACTGAATAACTAGTGGCCCTCAAACTAAAACTGTAAAAGATAAATTAAGCAACTAAAAATACATATCATAAAAGAAAAAAGAACTATAAGTATATATATATATATAAGACTAAAAAGTGTAAAAACTATATTACAATATTATTATAAAATATCCTTACAATGAACATCTACAAATTATTACAATAAGAATACAACTAGGATGGGTCAAGCTAGAGGAAGGTTGTGAAATGCCGGATTAGCTTAAAACTAAGAAATAAAATTAAGTTTCACTTAAAATTGAAGATCTGAATTCACCACTGACCTGAGCTCTAATGCTATCATTTGCAAGTCTTATTCTTGCCCATCTTATGCACCCACGACAATTTCTCACTTTCCAACAAATAAATCTGGACTAATAAAGGAAGATCATTTTAAACAATAAAGATTGAGATAAATAATCAGTGTTAGTTTCCATGTTTTGATGTTTAGTAATGATTAACAATTTTTAGTTTTTTACATCTTTCGAATATTATAACCTTCGAAATTAGTAGTCGGAACATCTTCGGTAGTCGTATGAACATTTTCAGATAGGCTCGGCAGCTGGTTTAATAAATGGAGATAAAAAACGCATAAAACACCAGCCTTGAAAGCGTGGACAGAAGTAATCTGACCCGAGTCTGATCAGTGGAACATGTTGTTGTGCCAAGAAAATGAACTTCAGGAGTTGTATTAAACGATCATGTCTCAAAAATCAGCTTAAGTTTGTGCTTTATCCCAAGAGGGCAAACGGTTCTTAACGGCGCTAGTGAGGCACTTTTCGGGCAAAGTTCGTATTTTCTCTGGGTCTGTAATCTTGACATCCCTTGAACTGACTTTGCAGACACCATAAACACTGAAGTACATTAACATAAAATTTCAACAGTTCGCCTATTTAGCTATAGATATGTCTACTTGCTCTCATAAACGATATTTTTCAATGTGTGAAAAGTGTTGTGTTATAATTGTTACCTGAGCAGGAAAAATCATTTCAGTTACTTCATTTTCGCCGCAGAAAGAAAAAAACATAGGGATCCTGTTTCATAACAAGAAGGCATAAACTGTGTGACAGGTGAAAAATGTAGTAAAATGAGATTAGCTCAATCTTACGTACGCACCTCGCGAAGGCATCTGTCAGAAGCGAAGATCTTTAATGCCGATTTTTTATAACAGTTAGGGGGCAGAGAAATGGATATATTTCAAACAATTTCGCAAGATTATTTTGATGTTACTCACCTTTGGCTCGGTTGGATTTAAATATTGTAGGAAAGAGAAAAACTGGCTAGGCGAGTTAGTGATTTGCATACAGCTGACTTTGAAAGCGGTAAACAGAAATTTGACGGCTTTTGTTATTTCTTGCGTTTTGATTGGCTGACGTCTGGTAACACGCCCTTACGATTGTTTCCCGTGGTTTGACTGCGCCTTCGCGTAAAATGGTTCGATTGGACCGATATTATAAAGCTCTTTTTCTACGTGCGACACATCTTGTATTGGCTTAGATTTCAGCGGCTCTTGGCGTTTCCATCTGCTGTGCTGTTTTATTCCAAAGCACTACTCCCAGGAACTTCGATTTCGAAGGTAAAGTTTTGTTACTTTTCCACGAGTTTTGTCGCGTTTTGTGTTTTTGATATATGTGTGTGTATTTGAGGAGAAGAGTTGTGTTTTGTGAGATATCGTGTTTTTGGAGGAAGGATCAAGACAGATGTCTGCTGGCTTGTCCTTCGGGTACCGAACTATAAATAAATTAAAAAACAGTCTGCCTCACATCTACGGTAATGTCTTTCTAGCAATCGTTCGAGAACGGGTTTACAAAAGTCAGTCATCGATGGAGTCGCCATTAGTAATATTTTTCGAGTCGCTTGTGGACTCCAACAGTGATCAACGCTCGAATCATGCAAAGTAACGCTCTTTTAAATTGCCAGATTCAAATTTCTGTCTCTTGAAATCTCGCTTGAATTGAGTTTGTTATTTCTAGCAAGTAATGTGTAAACATTCCCACACCTACATTCCTACCAAATCGAAGAAACAGATTCGCTAGTCAATCGTACGCGTGCTGATTAGAGTCGAAACTGAAAATGTGGAAAGCGTGAATCAATTCTTGAATGCCGAAAATGTCACGTTATCTATTCGTGTTAATTTTCACACTGACCCCTTGTACACTTTCAAAGTAATTTTTACTTTACCGCGTAGAATTCTGAATCGTAAATTGGCCCATTCTTTCTTTTGAAAGATCTTGAACTTATTAGTTCAGACAGTTGTATTAGTTACTAAAATCCTAGTCCATTTGCTACAACAACATACATAATGATGCCTCGATTGTGCACGCAACGGAAAATCGTGTGAATTTTCTTGAAATAAAAATCTTTTCAGTTTTTGACGATTCACATGCAGTCGCTAGCTAGTTACAAATCTACTATTGCTTAATTAGAAACGTGCAATAAAATTGTTATGCTCTAATTGATGGAAAACAGAATGACAATTGAACTCACGTAATTAACGTCTCTGGAAATGGTCAGCTAATCTTAAAGTTACACGGTGTTATTTTGTGATTCTTCTTGCCAACAACATTTCTGTATTATTTTAGTTTTAAATATTATGAATAAAAGTGTAATTATGAGAATAACCATTTTACTTTTTTTTTAAGTTGCGAGACTTTTCTAAGCAAATACTTATAAGTTGTACTTCAGATATCAGATCTTACGTCCGATAACTGTACTGTACATTTATTATATTCTGCTGGTGATTAGTCTAACCTTACGTTTGTTGGCACTTGACAACTTGCCACACCCTGACTAAATTTAGCTGATGCTGATGTAGATTAGGGCTGCATTATCCTTTAAAAAAGAATCAGAGGGAAAAACAGTTTGAGCAAAATGAATGTGGACAAACGTGTAAAAATTACAAATATTATAAACAGAAACTAATTATTTAACTGCAAATTAGTTCTATTGTCTTTTGACCCACTTTATTTCTGTATCAACATGGAATTGTGTGGAACAGGAAATGCCAATATTTAGATTGTACTCTTCTGAAGAGAAGGAAATTCTGAGTCCCCAGCTTAAGGACCCACCCAGCAAGAAATGGCGATGAACCAGTAATTTTGTTACAAATAGTTTTGGTGAATCCTGGGACTCATCTTGTGAAAAATCATGCATCCCTGGCCATAACCAATGAGTTCCAGTTCAAAAAACAGGAAGTCCTAAATTGAAAATACTTGCACCCTTACAGTGTATGTAACAAGACAGTTAATCTGGAGACAGATGCCAAAACTCTTTATTACAGTTTACTGAAATTAAAATACTAGTAGGTCAGCTGTCAACACACGAAGAGATCAAATTTTCATTTAATATCAAGGATCAACACAAATCAATGTTAAAGTGTTTGTAACTTTAACCGAAAGAACGCATTGCCTCAAGTATGTCTTCCAAAAATTTGCATTTTGAGTAAACAAAATTTGTTTGGAAAGTTTTTAAGTCGAATTTTCTTTGTCACTTGACCCATTCTATCTTCTGATTACAAAATTGACAGGCGCATAATGTAACATCATGAGACAAATTCAGAAACTTAAAATCAGGATTCTATGCATACTTAAATATCCCTTTTTTAAGGGTTGTCAGTGTAGTTGCATCAAACTGTTAGCCATCTTACTGGCATGTTTTACTATTTAACAGCTGTTTTAGTTCAAGAAAATTTGGAAAAAACATTGGTAGAGCTCAACACTTGTTTACTTGTATCTAAAGTTACATTCTCTTCTATTTACATCGATCACAGCAAATTAAATCAGATGTAACTAAATTGTACTGCAGATGTTGTCAATGTTAGATATGACACTAGTTTATTGTTTTTGAAAATATTATCTTAGCTGATTTAAGGGCCTCAGGTCAGTAGTACTATTAGCTGCCATGGGAATTACAGCTGTAAGTAGAAGTACTAGGGAAGTGTACACTGTTAGCCTGCCACTCCACTGCAGTCAAACATCTCGCTACTGGTGTTTTCTTGTTTTATTTGTTGGGATTTCATTTACTAGTTAGTGGAAACATGGGCAAGGATGGATGAAATAGCTGGTAATCGACTGTAACTTCGTCTTGTCATTTTCTTGTCAAGTTGAAAATGTGTTAATTTACACTTGAGTAACCATGGCTGACCCACCAGTAATACCAGTTTCTGTGTTAAAACATTAATACAACGTTTTTTAGTAATCTTTCAAAACTTTTAGTAAATTAAACATCGTGTTGGTAATATCTTTTACATTCATGTAAACACGGAAAGTAACAACCTTATCTCTGAAGTACTTTGCTTAGTAGTTGCAAATTTCTCTCATTGTACCAGGGCAAAACTTGCCTCTGTTTGAATTTGCTGTTGATCCCGATTAGACTCATTTTAGTAATTTTTTATCAAAAAAAGGAATAGTATAAATCAAAAGTCATTTTTACCACCAGTCCTATAAATTTTCTGTGTCATGATGACATGAACACTTTAACACAGTCCCAGTTTGTTTTTTTAACATGTTATATGTGCTTACATTGTCAAATCTGCTCACTATGTTATCAGGTGCCCAAAATTGTCACAAATTGTAACTTGGAACATTTTCATTTTGGTCTTCAGTGTTATAATCTCTTTTATTGGTTCCCTGCAGTTGTTGCAGTTTTTTAACCATACAAATTCGCTGTTACCTCAGAAGCACTTGCTATAGATTTCAGTAATCTTCTGGCTCCTGGTTCTAATAGTAAATTTAATGGCAGTTAAAGTCTTCATCCAGTACTTGACCCTGCAGCAATGGTTGTTACTGCCATTTGTCTCTGTGTGCTTTTAAGTTCTCACTTTCTCCTCTGTGCAATATTTTAATAATAATATATTTTTCTCACTATATGACCACTTGAAGTAGCTTTCTACGTGGCCGGGGTCCATAAAACAATGTGTGAGAGATTCTACATTCAAAAATTCTTTTTGCACTTGTGTCAGTCAAAATGTTTCTGTCACTTATTTTCAGTCTATTTAAGGACGTGCAGTTGTGAAGCAGTTTCGGTGTGAATTTCCTACTCCAGAAACTGGAGAATTAGTAAAAGCTTTGAGAGCAGTGAGTTCTGGGATAGTTTGGGTGGACAAGCATTAGTTGTGATTGGTCCATGGTATTCATGGCAACCATTAACCAATCACAAGGTGGTAACACTTGTCCACCCAAACAATCCCAGAAGTCTTTGGGCTGAAAGCTTGTACCCATTACCCTTATAATTTCTTGAAAAAGGACTAATGCTACTTGACATTGTTGGTACGGCTTAGTTGGCAATATAAAGGCCATCGAAATCCTCCCTATGATTGCTAATTCATGATATTGCTCACACAATTTTTAGTCTTAAAAACTTCCAAGATTTATGATGCACTCATTTTACAAAGTTTTTAAATAATTAAGGTTGTGATGGTTATTACATTGTGATTAAAATCGTTAACTTGAAACGGACAAACACCTTGAAGTGTTTAAATCTCTGCGTCTGAAATGTATTTAGTGCTAGAATGGTGCCATGACCTTGAGTTCTGCAGCATCGCAGATGAGCGCTTTCACTTCCCAAGGTTTCCCACATTTGCTTCTAAAAATAATCAACCCAAAGTAAAACACTTTTGCAACCTTCAGAACTAATTGGTTAATGATTATTTGTTTACGATTTATCATTGATAAACAACTCCCTTAATAAGGTTGTAAACAGCGCTGGAATTTGGTTTAGAAATTGACACATTATCGCGTTTGAAGAAAGGAAATGCATTGGCTTTCCTGTTGCTTTTACAAGCAGAAAAAAAATTAAAATTTGCTAGGGAATGACTTCTCCCTTCTTGCTTGTCAAAACGGGTTAATTCATGTGGTGTCTCGGTCGAACGAGCGTCCATAGTCTGTTATTACCACAAGTCTAATTAGTAACAAGCATCAATAACTGATTACATTTGAAAGATGACTGGTTTGCTCATTTTGAAATGCATCCTGCGTTACGCGTGGTAGGTTCTAGAATGCCGAACGCGCGCGGACGCGACGGGCGCGCGAGGTAATGGGAGAGGTGGCTTTGGAGAACACCTTTGGTCGTTGACTGGTACAAACGTTGCATTTCTTGAAACTTTAGAAGAAAAACTATTGTTTTCACTCATTTGCATTAGATTTGCATTAAATTTTTGTGAAATGCGACGTTTGAAGCGATTCTTAGATAACGCTTTTGTAACCAAACCTGCTACTTAGATCCACTATCATTATTTTAGCATATCCCTCAGACAAACCATATTTATTATACGCGATATAACAAATATTAACTCTAAAAACTTGAAATTCTTTACAACTAAGTTGGTTATCTGGTCTGGCAAAAACATGTCGAACAATGTTCTCTGACTCAGAGTGATTTGAAGTTGCTCATGATTTCGAATATTTCGTCCCAATCTGTGGGAGAATTTTATCTCTTCCTCTTTGTCTGTTTGACAAAACGAGAAGTGGGAAATTAGGGATAAACTTTTTTGATAAAACGAGACTCGAATCTCGAAGTTACATATTTTGAGAAATTCTCTTGTAAAATTATTTTTAGTTTATCTTTGTATTTTAATTTATTTTAATTCGTGTCCCTAATTAGTGCCGATGGCGCTAGAACGACCAGACACAATAATAAAGGGCTATGCATGTATGTATGTATGTACTCTCAATCTTGATTTTAGTTCCAAGTTATTTTTCTTTCCAAGACCCTGTTTACATGGAGTGGAGGACCCCGGTTTAGTGGGGTAGGTTTCTTTTGTTTTGTGTCCCCTAGAGCGTGAAAACAAAAGAAACCAACCCCACTCGACCGGGATCCCCCACTCCATGTAAACAGGCCCTAAGATGTTTTTTTTTTTTTGAAATAGACGAAATGCACGGTGATATTGATTAAGTTTCTATTTAAAAAGATACGTTTCTAGTGCCGTTTCTCAATTTTCTTTTAAGAGAAATTGTTGCTTAGGAGTTCACATGGAATTTAGTTCCAGATATCAGGGCGAAAGAAAAATACCGAACAGTTGATTTACCGAAAAGAGTAACGATTCATTACATCCGAAGGTTGGTAAATGAACTGAAAACCGTTTAACATCATGAATTTAAGGCTCTTATTCGTTGTGTTGTTTTGCTAAAACAACCTTTTTAATTTCACGTTTGTCAGCTTGTTTTGTCTGGAAAGAATCCTGTTTCTCGTATCGTGGTTGGTTGAACGATATGTTGGCGTTATTTGCCTTCAAACATTCGAGGATTTGTAAGCAAAACAACTTTTAAGTGATAAGTTAAAAACAGATGACGAAACGCCTTTTTATTTCGAACAACACTGCGTGTTTCAGGCTTGGGCATATTACTGTGAACATATATTATTATTAACAATGAGTTACACTGTGTTTATAAATTACGGTTATTTTGCCGGACTGATAGCATACAGGTTAAGTTTAGTCTATTCCCAGAGGTCGTGTAATTTCGAGGCAATTTCATCATTCATAAAACGAAGACAGCTGTAAAATGTTTCCCCTCCTTAACTCTTTTGTAACGATTCCGTTTATTTTTGCAGCCCTTGAAACCCCAAGTACGCCAAGTTCTCAAGCTTTCACCAGCCCGCGGAATTCTATATCGGCCAACAGTGGTGTCAGGACAAGCCTGATCGAAAAGTATAAAAAGAAAGAACAAATAGGAGTTGTCAATAGAGGTAAGTAACTTCTAATTTATTCTCACGCGGAAGAAGTGCAGTTTCCTTCATTTCCATATGTTTGACGTTTAGTCATTAGCTTATCCCAGGATTCTTGTTTGGTTATTGAGTTCACTAGGAGATGAGTTTTCATTCGTAGTTTTATGCACCTGTTGTTCTTCTATTCGTAGTTTAAACTCTAGAATCGGTAGAGTACACTTCTCTGTTGACAAGAAACCCGTTTGTTCATTTTTGTTGCATATTATCTTTACCAGGAAAGGGGATTAGCAAGGCATTTTTTTAAAGTTTGTGTTTAAAAACTTTGATCATACAATTCATCGTTTAAAGACACTTTTAGCGGCCGTTGACGTATATTGGGCGATTCTCATTATCCGTCTTAGTCTATTTCGTGATGCAGCATTATAAAAAGTGTACATATTTGATGTGGCAAATCCTTTATGTCTGTTTATTAATTTTTAATTTCTTCTGTCTCTAGACTCGCCAGTTTATTCTTCCCAAGGAAGCTTGCACCAGCAATTAGGGAATCAAACCTCGCCAAAGATCAAGGATCGAGGAAAGCGGAGTTCTCTGACACACAAGGACGAAAAGGACATAACAGAGGCTATACGGAAAATCTCCTCATCTGTGTCGCAGACTCTAGCCGACCGACCTGCTAGTTTTACGAGCAGGACATTTAACATACTTAAGAGTCGTTTTGACAAGGGAATATTTGGTGCAAGCAGACGAACGTCGTCACCTGATATTTCAGTAAAAGGAAGTAAAATTCGAAGGCGTTTAAGTGATACGACTGCAATGGCGGATTTAGCTACAACTCTCGCATTTGATGGAGAGCAAGTCCCTGTCGTAAATAACAACGTTTCGGAAGAAAAACAACCCGATTCTGAATCCACTGAGGAGATTGGCGTAGGAAAGATCGTGGTACCGAATGCAATCGCATCAGGGGAGGAACCACCAGATAACACTGCTCCAGACCAGATCGATGGTTCCGTCCCAGCCGAAGATTCACTTTCTTCTGAACAATCAAGACTTGAAGACTTGTCAGGTTCTCAGGCGAACGGAAATGATAATATGCCCGATGTTTCGTCGTTTGATCCCTTGGCAGCAGCCGCCGAGCAAGACAGGCTGGTCCTGACCGATACCACGTCTTCGGAAAAACCCGAGGAGCAACCTAGTAACAGCGAACTTATTGGTAATGGTGAATTGGCTCACGATGAACGGCCCTCTGAGCCTGAAACAACCGTAGAGCCTTCACCGCCTCAGGATCTTGACAATTTAATAGAAATTGCAGACACTAAACCAGTTTTGGACAATACTCCAGAGGCTTCACCGCGGCCGATTGATATTGGAGATTTATTACAGGATTCGCAAGTCAGTGCAGCGGTGGAAGGAACTGTGGAGTCCTCGCCGTTGATTAGTGTGGAGGAAACTGCTGCTCCTAAGGAATCGGCTCCGGAAACAGAAGGTGCCGATGCTGAGCCTGTCAATTCGGACAATCCTGTTGTCAACGAGGACACGACACCAAGTGTTGAAGACGTTCCCCCCAGTGAAGTGGATCCAAGTCCGGAAGCCGAGTCGCAACCTCCGGAAGTGGCACCTGCAAAGATTGAAGAACCCTCTACGGGTGAAGAAACTGTAGGTATCTCTGAGTCACTGGAACCTTCTAAATTAGAAGAAGAACCTGCAAAACCCGACGAAGCAGTTCCTATTGAAGAAACGGCTGCTGGAGAGCCTGAACCACCCAAGCCGGAGGAAGGGACTGTTAAAATCGATGAGCCTGTTAGCCATGTAGCGGACGTCAAATCTGAAGGCGAAAGCACGGAAGTGGCTCCTACTGTGGAAGAGACGAGCACGCAGGAAGAAAGCCAGGCTCAAGAAGCTGCTGTTGTTGAAGTTGCTGAGGGTGCGCTAGTTATAGCGGCTGAAGGGAAGGAAGAGCAGAAGCCCGCGGAAGATCAGCCTCTGAAGGCAGAGAAGCCAAAGGAAAAGACTACAAAGGCAAAGCCTGCAGCGGCTGGCGCAAAAGAAAAGTCTGCATCTAAACCTAGCTCAGCGGTTAAAAAGCCAACTGGAGCTGCAAGACCCACTTCACCTACAAAGATATCGACTTCGGCGGCGGCGAAAAAAGACGTTAAACCGCCTACTAAGAAAGTGCCGCCTTCCAAGCCTGCTTCGGCTAATGCGTCTGCTGTGAAGGCAACAGCAGCAAAGGCACCTACTGCCAAGACGCCAGCCACAAAAACTCCAACCTCAGCGGCTGCGGGTGTCAAGAAGCTTGCAGCGAAGTCTAATGAAACCAAAGTTGACGAGGCGAAAAAACCGCAAAGACCCAAGAGTGCAGTATCAGCTCGTCCTTCTACACAAACCGCTGGACGTGCGACTAGTCAGGCGCAAGATAAGAAAGTTCCGGCGTCGGCCACGAAAACGGCCGCGACTAAGCCTCCTGGTCAGGACGTAAAAGATGGTGGTCCACCGAAAAGTGCGCCGAAGACAACAACGGCTAGACCTTCATCTGCGAAACCAACTCCGAAGACTACCACCACTGGAAAGAAACCACTTTCTGCTAAACCGACGCCCACACCAAGCACAAAGCCTGCTGACAGTAAAGATGGGACTGCACCCCCCAAGAAACCAGCCGCTCGACCTACAAGTGCCAAACCCAAGCCCACGACCAGTTCCACGACCACAACCACAACCGTGAAAAAGACAACAACGATAACAACCACTGTGACCAAGAGTGGTACAGCTGCCCCGGGAAAAACTCAGACAACCACCACGAAAACAGTTACGCAGGCGAAGACGGGTCAGCCGAAAACTACCGCAAGTACCGCAACCACTACAAAGACGTCTGCGAAAGCACCAACAAGACCTACCTCGGCTGCTAAAAAGCCCACGGACATTAAGCCTGCATCCACAGGCGCGAAATCGAAAATCGGTGGGAAACCGAGCGCGGGAAGCGTCGGTGGTAAACCTACACCGAAATCTGCCTCAAAGAAAAAGACGGAAGAACCGGCGAAAGAAAAAGAATTAAAACAAGAAGATAAACAACCGATATCACAGCCGGCACCCGAAGCTGCAACTGAAGAGAAACCGACTGAAGAAGTGGAAACTAAAACTGAAGACAAGCCGACAGAAACTGTGGAAACAGTTTCAGAGGAGCGGCCAGTTAGTGAAGCGATCTCCGAAGAGAAATGGATCGAACCAACACCTGATTCGTCTGCAGCTGAACAAACTCCAGAGTCGACAGAAGTCTCTTCGAAAGAATTCGTTGATCAATCAAACGTTGTTACACATGTTGTCACCACTGAAATAACAACAACAGTGAACGAGGATGGGGAAGAAAAGACAACAACAACGACGGAAGAATCCGTGAATGAACAGACTGTAGAAGGGAGTTGAAGCAAAGTTTGTTACCAGAGTATGTCGAGTGGTAGAAAAACAATTTACCCCAAAGAGTGGAACGTTGGTTAGAACGTATGATGAACAAAGAGATCAGTTTTTTGTGTGCGTTGATTAGGCAGGAGAGACAGGATCGCTAAAAGAACTGATTTTAGATTGTTTTCTTTGCAGTAAGTTAAAGAAATGGAAAGGCCCTTTACGCATTAACTGAAATTCTTTTGGAATTATCCAAGAGATTACTGTGTTTACACGATAGTAGATGAAAGCGTACAAGTTTCAAACTCACCCACAGCCTTTTCGAAAACTAAATTAAGCTCGAGGAAAGCGAAGTTTATGTCACTACATCATCAAACGAAGCGATTATTAAAATGGTCGCTTCGTGTCAACGCGTCGCTATTTTGGAATCTTGGATATATTTCCATGGGAGTGAACAACAAGTGTGGACAAGGTCGATTTTGCATGTTTGATTTCTGTCCAAATTTAACCATCAAAGGAAGTCGGATTGCTGGAGTCTTATTTTGATCGAGTGGCCGTCCACAACTTGTTGTCTCAAACAAGTCAAAGAAAATTAACATTAATTGTTCTTCGAACGTTGCAACGCGAATATTTCTCGGTCAAAAAATGTTGCCATTCGCGGGGAAAATAGATTTCACTTTGGCATAATACGCAAAAAATATTTTTCAATGGTTGATGACCAATTTTAATTGCCAAATAATTTAAGAAAAGCAGCCGAGTGTGTAGGCTATTTGTTAAATTGCACTTAGTGTTATATGGTAACTTTAAATTTCCTAGAATCGCTATTTCATTCCAGAGCTAGCCATAACTAAGGCCGGATTTATAGAACTAAGATTTCTCAAACTCTCTGACTGCAGTAACATGTCAAATCTTTGATCGAAAAGTTCTCCGAGTTAGGGGTAATAATGCGGAATTTCGAACTAAATTGAACGCCATCCACATTTTTGCTAATACAGGTGTTTCTATATGTACTTTCTTGTTCATTGAACTTTTTGGTAAATGGCTTTTAAAGCCATTTGCCACCGTTTGCAGCCTTTTCATTATTATTTACAAGCGATTTAGGGAAACCAATCAGACTGTCCTACGTTTCATTACTTTTGGCAGTTTAAAAACCGTTCAGATAACACCCATTAGTTCTAACTAGCAAAGCGCGTGGATACCATGATGTCCCGTCGCAGAATGTCTGTGTGATAGGATTTTCAGCACTTTCATTCCCTTGGTAACTGAATTTTTGTGTCTGTGGATGAAATCATTCAAACGAAACCTCGTTTGGCGTAACAGTAAAGACCCGCGACTAACCTGCATTTTCCCAAGTTAGCCAAAACTTATTAACAGGTTCTTACATAAGTGGTAATTAGCACAAATTCGGACTATTTAGGTTGTTATTTTCTGAAGAAAAAAAAAATAATCGTAGCTAACAGCATTAAGTGGTATTCAGCTTATTCGTCATTATAAAATCTGCATACGATTACATTGCAGAAGGAGCCTACCACTGCAATGTAGCCAGATTTTATAATGACGAATAAGTTGAATAGTGATAAGGTACTTACGTCTCCAAAGAGGAGCCTGAATGTTGACTTATATTATTTGCCCAATTGTACAGAATTTTTGTCAGAGATTTTAGAAAATGAGAGCCTGTTTCAAATTTTAGGCTAAACAGGTTCTTGTATAGAGGGGGCCTAACTGGCATGTTTTAGCCTAACAGGTCCTGACAAACCAAATTCAAAGTCGCGGGTTTTTACCCTATTTAAAAAAAACAAATGCTGGTAGTTTTGAAATTGTACTCTTTGTGGAAGTGAAAGGATAAAGGCGTTTCTTATCTTGGTGAACAAGTTTTGTGTTTGTTAATTTATGTGTTAGTGTTTCCATAATCATCTCACGGCTATTTAAAAGGTTTTTTCCTAAGAATTTATTCACGTTTTCATTCAGCCATTTCGTAAAGTATAGTTTGAATCACTAGGCATGTGGAAGTATTCGAAGGATATTAAGATGAAAGTAGAAAATATTGTATTTTGCGTTATTTTGTACATAAGAGATGGCAGACAAGAAAAGTTCATAAAATGATGGAACAAATAAAGAAGTGAAAATACATTTTTACCAGTCATTCATGCTTTAACCTTTAACCCCAAAGATTTATCAACATTCAATTTCTTGTTATGATGATACTGCTCAATCAAACTGAAGGTCGTGAGAAAAAATGAACAGACCACCAGATAGAAAGGTTTTGATCGCTTAACAAATTCTTCTCATTAGCACCATAGAAAGTCTACAGAGAACAGTGTGGAGAATATGGAGGTTGATAATTAACACTCAATATTATTGAATGAGGCGGAGGATGATGTGAAGAATTATGCAGGTCGAGGGAGGATGTTTACCGACGGAGGTGGCTAAACTCTTCCAAGATCTGAATAATTCTTCTCATCAGACGAATGCCGAATTCAGTAATAGTTTCTTATTGAAAATATTTCTAAGTTCTTGACAACCTTACCAGGTATGCGAAGACTTACTTCAAAACGTTTGCTTTGATTGTCCACAAGGTTTCAGCATTTAGATAGTCTTCAAAAAGTCGGTGACGTCCATCGAGCTATATTTTCGGTGTATTATTGCATTTCTTCCGTTCAGTTTTACTGGGAAGTTCGGCTATTTCGTTTTCGGATAGCCGTGAACTCTTCCGACGTTTGTAGGAAAACAGCTGGGCTGCCACGCTATTGCCTGGAAACGAGGTAGATGTTGCCTACATCTTCCAAATATGGTCATAACCATCCCACTGCCCCAAATTCTTGTTTCTTGTCCTACTTTGCCGAGGAGTAATGACAAATTCGGTTAATTGGAAGGTAAATGAAAGGCTTTGATCCAGTTAGTTCAACTGGTTTCTGACTAGTCAGTTTGGCATAATGTCCCAACGTCTTTTTATGGTTTTTCTAACACTTTACAGTCAAACTGGCAATGAACACTTGAAATATTCCAAGAACATCTATTGTGTTACGACCAATCCCAGCAAAGATCAGGACATGCGAACGAGCTACAAAGCCACAAACTAATTGAAGTTCTTGCTTGCGGTTTAGTTTCTCACGCCCGATTGGCTTTTTCCAAGCAACACAATAACGTTCCAGAAATATTTGTGGTGTTCACGGTTTTCCTGGTTTGACTATACACATTCAAAAAACACTAAGAGCACATTATCCAGAGACTATTATGTGTAAGTCTGCTTTGCTTGATAGTTTTTAATTTATTGAGTAGTCAAATAAATAAAACTGTACAGATTAATATATTAAATCAAATAAATAAACTACAGATGTTTATTACATTCATAGAAATTAATAACTAGGGCCATTTATACGAAGAAAAATAAGACGCGAACTTTCCGTATAAACGGCACATTTCGTCTAAAGTAAGACGCGGCTTAGCTATGACGCGTCTTATTAGATAAGACATGCTCGTATAAATGGTACAGTTCGCGTCTTATTTAAGACGCGTCTTATGTAAGACGCGTCTTTTTTTTCCTCATATAAATGGCCCTAATATCTCTCTGTTCCTTCTGATTTGTTATGACTACCAATCATGTGAAATGGAAAAGGCATGTGACTGCCACAACCTAGCTCTTGACAAAGCTTTGTCTGACAGGCATGTTTGTGGACATCTAACTTACGTGCACACCATCTGTCAGTGATGGTTGATCAAGTCAGACAGCTATGCAAAGTAATGTTTTCTTGAAAACGTAATGCAGTGAGAGTAAATAAATTGTCATTACAAACAAACAAAAGCCCACTTGATAATTCTAATGGACAAACCTCATGGTTTAGTCTCTTCCATTCATCGAGCTAGAGGGAACAGGAGGAAGCTTGGGACCAAGGTTGCCACACCCTGTTTTGCCCTATGTGGGAACCAGCCAACAACCCAATAAAACTTCTAAAATTTTTTTCACACAGTATTATTTTGCTGTATCTCTCTGTCTGTCTTTGTCTCTCTGGATTTCAATACAAATTTTAAGAAAAGTGGCAAGCATGCAGCCTCCCTGTTACTCAAAGAGGCCTCGTCAAACGAGCAATGCGAAAAAGTAGAGGGGTATAAAATCTCCAAAAGCAGTCACCTGTTTATGTAACTAATTGTAGCTCTTATCCTTAAGGAAAATTTTAATACACTTTTCACATGAATTTACAATCACCATTGCTGGGACTTTGGAAGTGCTGGTGCTGTGAGAGATTCAAATTGCATTTTAATAACTCAACATCATTTTGAGTTTAACACTCAAAACATGCTATAGTAGTGGTGAAAAAGGATGGCATTAACCAATTTCGCTCTGCCTTTAATACACTCTGTTTGCCCCCTTAGATTTGGCATAAGCATTGTCCTCAATTTCTCTTGGGATGACTGTAACAACGAGAAAAAATTGGAAACAATGCTTATGCAAAAAGTTGGAGGAAAAACAAAATGTACCATGGGCAATGAGATTACATAGGGCAATCTTTTTGCAGCAATTCCTTCCTGGGCTTGGGCTTGGACATGTGAAACGACCATGAATTGCTGACTGAGGTCTTCCATTATGCCTAGTTTATTACCATATGAAGGGGTTATGTTGTGGATTAGCACCTCTCAGTCTGAGGGCAAGATCTGTAGGTGAATTTTCTGGTATTACATGAGGACCAGAAGTGAGTGCATAATATTGACTGTCATCATCTTCTTTTCCGGTCAATACCATATTCCGTAATTCGGGAAACTCGTGAAAGGGGAGGTATGCCTCACCATACGGCAAACCTATGTCCTTTCTAATGGCTGTTGTTTCAAATGATGTTTCATGTTCTTCCCAATGCCTGTCACATGCAGCACACAGAAAATTCGAGAAAAATTTGGAGCATCCGCATCCCCTGACTTTGCATCTCCTAAGCCCCGTGGGGTGGTGTTCCTCATGGGTGTGTTTACATTTGCACTTGGCCCGCCACGTACTTGGGTCATAGCCCGGACGGCGCTGAAGCCAGAATTCACCCGCCTCCTCGGGACGGGACTGGATAAATGCGAACGCCTTACACTCGCATCGCGGGGCGGTACAAGGGACCATGACACTCTTCCCCGTGTATTGGGCATGTTCGTTTAATAAATGACCACAAAAACATTTCGAATTCTTACATACACGGATGCAATCATGCTTAAACTCGGGACAGCGCCATCCAATATACACCCCAGACTGAATGGCGTCTATGGCCGCTTCGCGTTCGGGATCAAAGAGCTTCTTGACTCTCGGTGCAAAGTCGTCGCCATGCATCGCTCGGGCCACGGGCAACAGCTCTGCTTTGGCCGCTGG